ACATCCAACTGACTGAGTACCCTATCTGGATCGAATGGAACTAGGCCAGCGCCAGCGAAGCTATTTCTAATAGTTTCTGTTTGAAAAGCACTTTCTCGAGCAGCTGGAAAGGCCTTTAAAAAGTCAAATTTATCAATATGATTAACTCCTAAACGCGCTCTCTGTTCCACCAATGTTCCGTACGCCTTTTTTAAAGGCGAAAAGCAGCCCACATCTAGCGGTTGAAGCTTGTGGGAAGAATGAGCAGGCATACAGATAGGAATTATATTATTTTCGCTGCAGAGTTGATTGAATTGAGGGGTAAGGTGGCTGCCATGGCCATCAAGAATTAGAAGGCGATATTTCCCAGTCATTTAACTAGAAGTAGCAGGAATGAAGAGATTTTTAAGCCAGCGAAGGCCTATCTCATCAGTAGTCCATCCATTAGGACTAACTTCAATCCTACTATCGCGTGGGAGTGTGATATCTTGATACCAACCCTCTATATGGACTTTTCCTTTGAAGATAATGTATGGAGGAAGCGCCCAACCAGTTGAATTAATGTATTCAATTGAAGTAACCCATTCCTGATTGCCTGGCTGTACGAAAGAGGCTTTTCCATAGTAATCAGCTCTAGTAACTACTTGAGCAGTAGCTACTAGGCCCATAGCAAAGCCTATCTCATTAAAATTATAGATATCCTCCTGTGCAATCCCATGTTGCATAATAGTGATTTGTACGCGGTTAAACCACTCCCTAATTATTTTAGGGTCTTCGCATTTTGCTCGTCGATAATCATAGCGTCGAATATAGCATGTTTTCAGTTCATCACGACGTCTAATGAACTTCGAAGCCCAATTTATGCCGACTGTTTGAATAGGCCTTGTACCGCGCGCAGCAAGAAGAATATCGGCCATTTCTTATATATAGGATGGTCGGGGAGGTGCTCCACGTTGATCTAGTGATAGAATCCATTGCACAAGCGATTCCTCTTCATTTTGAGTTAATTTATGGCTGTTAGCGCGTGTTTCTGCGCGTGAAGTGGTTCCAGCAAGTCGCCGTTGGAGTGTTATGCGAGAGATATTATAGACGCGTGCTGCTTCGCGAATATTACAGATTTCCTGCTTTTTTAAAGCAGAAATGGCAAGGATAATTCTTCCCTCTTGCTCGGCTGAATTTCTTGACTTTTGACGCGCTTTTGGAGGCATGGTTGATGGTTGAATTAGTTGAAGCAGTAAGAGGCGTCGATTTTTGAAGCGGTGGCCCGCTCGGTGGTATGGCCCACTCAGTGGTGAAATACGTTATAAATTTCTTAGAATTACCTAAGCGCAGTTAAACTAGTGAGCTAACTATAAGCCCACTTGGGATATAAAGCAGGGTACACCACTTCAGCTTTCTTTTATATATCTAACTGAAGTTATTAGGGGTTAATATAACTCTAAGGCACTAATTTAGTTTTCAAGGGAGTGATATTAAATATATCACTTTTCTCAAGAGTAAAGTCTTAGAGTTATCTTGGATTATTGAAAGTTATGTACTATCTTCTGACCTGAACCAAAGCCGTGGCCTGTCTACAGCTACAGTGTCTTAATCTTCTTTACAGAGGAGATCTTGTTTATCAAGCTCCGACAATAAAGGATATAAGTCTGGGAATATATAATTTATTAAGTACACACCAACTGTGCCTACTCTGCCTCTAAATCCAAGTGTATCCTCAAGTATAAAGCCTTGATGGCAAAAGGAGCTCGATAAATTCCTTATATATATTCCACTACTTAAATCCTGGGATTATAGAAGATCTGAGTATACAGTCAGCAATGATACTATATTAGAAATAATAGTTAACTGTAAACCATTATCTTCCGGGTATTTCCTTGGACTGCATCCCAATTCCGTGCAGCTGCCTAATCAGTAAGGCATTATTCTTGTCCTGTAAAAGTATTACATATTTACACAAAATATCCAGGCCTAAGTTACTATGTGTGAAAAGGTAGCTAAATAGGCCTAGAACTTGTGTTTATATTGCTATGCGCCGTTGTGTTAAAGACAGTCAAGGATATTAAACCTATTTATAATATTATAAGGATGTACCTTTCCAATGCTAAGAGAAAACATTTGGACAACCTTATTCACGGAGTAACTTAGGCAAACTATTATATTTTAACACTTTTCAAGACACCATGGGGCTACAGAGATCAAGAAGTATTTCTTATCAGTAAGCTACTATCTCTGGCTGTAGAAACAGATACTAAGCCTACTGTTAGCCGGTCAACCAATCGCTTTCTACACGCGATATGCAGAACATTATAAAAGTCTACATTATTTCGCAAATGAGATAAATAGAAAGGTGGAGAGATATTATGTCTTAGAGTCTAATATATTAGCTTCAATTCTTAGCGTATCCTTGATACTCATAAAACTTATTGGAGGTGCTGTCTCGTGAGTACAATCTATCTTGAAGATACAGAACAAGTATAATTCTGAGTGATATACAGATTATTAGATATATATAAATATCTTGGATACTCATTAGATCATGTGTCATCATGTCACCTGCTCTTTGAGTAATCATTGATGGCGTCAATATCAGCAACAAGTACCCGGGGCAATTCTTTTACCAGCCTAAGAATGTCTCTATCTTTGATTAATCCTAATCCCCAACATGAAAATTATATGTCATCGGCCAATCCTCAATGTGGGGCTACTTTAGATCAGGTTCTAGATGGTGATTATCTGAATAGTCATTATCAATACTACTCTTCTTCGTGAGGTAGTAAATGGCATCACTTAGAGTCTCCTTACCATATGTCCAGTAGTGATGCAGCTGAATATACTCCCAGTCACTATCAAATTAAGACCGCTGTTCTACTCAACCACAGACAGAGAATACAAGACCTGGAAGCTTCTTGACTAAAAAATACACATATATTGGCCAAGAAGATTCGCCCAGAGAAAACCAAGGACTGAACCATAACTTAGATATTAGTCAACAAGAGTATAGTTATACTTCTCCTAATATATCTCGCAGTCCTTATCCTGGTGAACCTGGGTCTTCAGATGTCAGTGATAATAGCCTTATAATATTAGAGGACTCTTCTTGTACAGTCTGTGGCCCACAGCCTAACAATCCTGGATCTTTTGCTGTTAAGGACTGTCTTAATGGACTACTCTCCACTGCTTTTCCCTACGGCCTGCTTCCCAATAATCCCGAATCCTGGGCCGTCAACAACTACCCAATACTACTATATGGTTCTTCTAATGCAGCTTCCTATAGCCCACACCCTAATGACCCTGGATCCTTAGCTATTGATGGCTGTCTTGATAGACTACACTCTGATACTTCTCCCTATAGACAATTACCCAACAACCCCGGGTCCGGGGCTGTTAACAATAACTACCCAATGCTACTATAAGGTTCTTCTAGTGCAGTTCCCTATGGTCCACACCCTAATGATCCTGGATCCTTAGCTATTGACAGTTGTCTTGATAGGATTCTCTGTTGGTAAGAAATATAATTCTTACTACTATAACTAGTGTCCATATTGGACATGACTTCTAGATTGATCTGCTATGGTTGATCGTTGATCATATCCATGGTTCTGGCGGCCATGGATTATCATCGATAATCACCAATTTCAACCATTAGCGAATGGTGATCTAATCTATGAGATCACCCAGCGATGAGATCATTCAATATTTGAATGGCCTATGCTAGAAGGAATCGTCTATAAATACACCCGTGAAAACACCCTATAGCTAGTAATAATTAAAACTAATGAATCAAGACATTAAGCTAAGGCATCCTTAGCTATTTTCCTTCTACTATTCTATTCTATTCCACTGCTATTCTTCCTATTCTTCCTTTATATCTAGGCAAGCCATCTATTCCCCTTTGCATTCGTGAAATTTCCTTTGTCATTTATATACTATCTAGTATATACTGTTCATTTTCATTCACAAATATATTATATTAGATAGGGATAAACTATTTACATTAAAATTTTAGTAATTATTAATAGATTTAATAGGAATTAAGTAAAGACTTACTACTATATATTATCTATAAGCTAATAGACAGACTAAATAAGCAAACTAGATAATTAAGTAATACTTATAACACTATATAAATTACTAATAAGATAATTAGGTAGTTTACCTATTAATAATATAGTTTATATATAATAACACTATTTACTTAATTACAGGGGAAACACCTTTCTTTACTAATCATAGATATAACCCTATATTAATTAGGGAACTAAGGAATAAAGTACCCACTATAAAAGAAGCTAAAGAAATAGTGAATACTATTAACTATCTAAGGACTTAACCTTTAAGAGATATTAAATTTATAAACCTCTGCATGGCACTTTATTATAATAGAAAGTATAGGAGTGCTCTAGACCTAAAAAAGGGGGAGAAAGTTTACCTACTATATAGAAATATTAAAATAAAAAGACTAAGTTGAAAAGATGGCCTTATTTATGGCCTAATTTGACCGCTATTTTAGAGCTCTATATTCTAGCTTAATGGCCTAGAGCGACCAGAGCTGTTGGATTTGTATGAGCGGTAAAGCCTTGGGATGGATTACCAGACGCCCTGGTTTGACAGATAATGATATGGTAACTGGCCCTATAATTCGTCTCGTCTCCGATCACCAAGTGCAGTTACTCCTACCTAGCTTTATTTACTTTGTAACCGTCCCTTTGCCTGACGGGCTTAACAATATTCCTAACGAGCTGTGGATTGCGGTTTTACTCTCGGAATTTCTAGATCTCTCATCCTGTCTAATCGGGGAATTGCTGCTCCGTTAACACTTGGTTCGGATCGGATTAGTGACCAACCATATCCTTAACCGCCGTCTCGATTTCCAATCTCTCTCCTATGACGTGCAGTTGCCATCGCCAACAATTTACATATTTGAAGGGGATGGTGTCCAGTACCACAGACAATTGTCGACAGCGCATCACGTTAATCCTTCTCCGACTCAACACCCACGGAATCTCTTCAAAAACATCATCATGTCATCCTGCGTACCCTCTCAGCCTTTAACATTGTCTGGTAAGGTTGCCATCGTCACAGGAGGCTCGCGAGGTATAGGAGCTGCCATCGCCTTGGAGCTCGCTAAACGTGGAGCAAAGGTAACAATGCCCTTCTGTTAATAAGGAACAAGGTCTAATTCAAATACAGGTAGCCATAACCTTCGTGTCTCCCAGTAGTGTAGCGTTGGCAGACAAAGTAGTCTCCACTATCAACAATCTCGGAAACGGAGCGTCGGCCATTAAAATTCAGGCGGACATGCGCAGCATTGATTCACCAGACCAGATCATACGTCAAAGCACTGCTGCCTTTGGAGAGTCAATCGATATTCTGGTTAACAATGCCGGCATGGAATTTGCCAAGCCTCTTGGAAGTATCGGCGTCGAGGAGTACACCGAAGTTTGGGACGTCAATGTTCGCAGTGTGGTTTTTATGACGCAGGCTGTGCTTCCCTATCTACGAGCTCCAGGCCGCATCATCAATATCGGATCATTAATGGGCCGTATCGGTCACCCCGGACACAGCATCTATTCAGCGACTAAGGTGGCATTGGAAGGTCTCTGTCGTGGCTGGGCGTCAGAGCTGGGTCCTGCATCCCATACAGTCAATGTGGTTGCTCCTGCTCTTACCATGACTGACATGATGGGTCGTGTTACGGCTTCGCCAGAATCGCAGCAAGCCGTCCAAATGCAAAAGATGATGACGCCTCTTGAGCACAGACTTGGAGAACCTGAGGACATTGCTCTTGCTGTGGCAATGCTGGCTGAGCCCTCAAGCAGATGGATCACCGGCCAGACTATCCAGGCTGGTGGTGGAATCTACATGTCCTGAACTACATTGCCCATGTAGGTTGCAAAACGTCCGCGGAAAACGGTCATGATTCTACAACCGCTGAAACCGAGTGCCGCACTGCGTCAGTCCATCCGCGATCTCGCAAAATGTCTGCTTTCTCCTTCTTCTGCATTGTGTTTCGCCGCCTCATTCTGCTGGTACTGGTTCCCCGACTTCATATTTCCTGCACTTACTTCAACTTCATCTGCTAGATAAAGCCGGAAAGTCCCGTCATCAACCAGGTGTTTGGCGCGTCGTCGGGCATGGGTCTCCTGCCACTGACTTTTGACTGTGCGTGCACCGCCTACATTAAGATAATTAAGTTTCGAGTGCCTATATGAACTTCAAGTCGAGGAAGCCTAGTACATACGACCATAGGGTGTGGAAAACAGGGCTTCCCGTCCGCTCAGCCGTACTTAAGCCACACGCCGGCCGGTTAGTAGTTGGGTGGGTGACCACCAGCGAATCCCGGCTGTTGTATGTTTTTGAAGGTATTTTTTGCTTCATTGTATGCCATTGCTGTCTGGTTATGCTTTAAAGAATGTTCAAATTAATTCATGCGTTATAGATACCTAAAGGATTGTGCTGATTGCAGGTGCCAAGGGATGAGTGCCTGCCAAGGGGAGATCGGCGGTCCATGCTTGAGCAGGGAATAAATGCATGCTCTATCCCTGATATATTATTATGTAACCACTACGACATAGACAAAGTACAGTACAGAAATTTTTTGTCATCCTGCCTCCAGCCCAGCGCACAATGAGTATCACTGCCATAATGACTACCATCCACTATAAAGTGGCATTTTATTTAGACCGACAAACCTAAGGATAGCAAGAATCAGCCATGCTCAACTCGCAGATGACACCGAACTCACCCCTCGATCTGGACCGATGTATACACACTTCAGTCCAGGGCAGCACACTCCAGTCAGACCAGCAATTGTAGCACAGGTCTCCCCTTCTGGATGGCACGCATACTCGGTTCGAGGACTCGGTGCAGCCAGAGCCATGGCAGTGAGAGAGGCAAGCAGGTAAATGAACTTCATTCTGCGAGCATTGTCAGTATCTGCCGAAACATAAAGAGAACACCACCTACTCGAGAGTAATAGTGAAGAATGCTGATCAGGATGAGAGAAGTCGGATGAGGAGGGCTGGAGACCAGACTTTATACCCGTCAATTGCAGCTACGCAAACATGCAATGGATGCATTCCAGTCGTACCTTACTGATACGAGAGAGTCGTATGTTCCATTCGCCGGGATAATTGCATTTCTTTACGTATTGCATTCCGAAGCGAAGGATAGAGACGGATAAGAGGGATATTTGACAGTGCTTGGCATGACCCTGGTCTTTTATTGACAGGATGTATCAATGGTAGTCAATGGTCGATATAACCGGAAACATAGGGGAGTTGCTCCTATTATACCTTAGATTCTGCTAGTTAGGGTGATCTCCCTTGTCTGTCTATATAGTGAATTAAATTCTATCTGGCTGCACGCGTTCTACCATAGCTTTTGAATTAGATATTGCTCATACCAAAACAAAACAAAAAAAAAAAAAAATTGAAAAAAAGAAAGTGGACTCGCCGGGAATCGAACCCGGGACCTCTCCAAGACCCAGTGCGTATGCGAATGGAGCGTTATACCCCTAAACCACAAGCCCTTCTTATTGGTATTTACTTTACCTTAAGAAAATATATAGAAGGTTAGTTTACAAAAATACTGACCTGATGCATCGTGGCGAAGGTTGTCTTTGATCCTTGAACTCAGATGTCAGGCCATGTGAGACTGGGTGTGCTACTGCTATCTGTTGCTGACACTGTCTCGGGGAGGTCATCGCAAAAAATCTAGACCTGCAAGGAGCTACTGGTGACACAGGCAGTCAGCTAAGAGCAATTAGATCGATGAGCAACTTTGCTTTCAGATGGACTGGTCAATGGAGGTAGATTCACGTCGTAAAGCAAATATGGCCTGATGTACCCTTTTTTTTTACCTAATCCGTGTAACATGGATTATTGCATCGTTGGTGTGTCCAATCAATCTAAAGCGACGTAAATTTGAACATAACATATTGATTACATATATATACTACACTCCATATGAATAATTTCCTAGGTATACATCGTATCTCGTAATGACAACACAAAACTTCAATTTGGGGTGGTGAGGAAAGACGAGCACCACTACTGTGGCAACTCCTCAATCCTCACCATTAATCCAGGAGGAACCTCTACCTCGTAGAGTTCCTCGACAGTCATATCGTCGGGTGCTTCGACGCTGTATCAACTTAGCTTGGCTGTAGAAGGGTGATTGGGAGGACGAGGCCTACGTCAAGTACTGCACCGGAGGAGAGGTGTCGCTGTGTTCAAAGGTATCAGGGAAGACGAGGTCTTCGCCTTCGTAGATTTCACGAAGACTATGTGTACGGTCAGTACGGAGCTAGAAAATTCTGATGAGCTAACGCACTGCTCTGCAAGGGTTTTGCCGTCCCCGAAGCGGGCGTGGGCTTGTTCATTGGAGAAGTAGACGTCGAAGCTCTAGAGACGGTTAGAGACGGTTAGCGAGGTTGCATACTCGACGAGGGTGCTTGACTGACAAGGTCCTTGGTCATTGTGGCGGTTAGTGAATGTAGCAGAAGGAATTGATTGTTCTTTAGCTAATGAAGTGAGAGATGCGACCGCAGGAACGCCTTTTATACCTGTCTTTCAACCCCGCAAAAGATGACGGATGACAGACATGCAATGGTCACTGCGTCTGGAGACGATCCGGATAAGTGGTTTGATGGCACGCAATCAGACGGTTGAGCGATATTCTGTATATGGAGTTGATTGGAGGTGAGCTTCGGTGGTGAGATCATGGATATCTCATGATGCCTTGCATTGGTCAATGGACAGTGATTTGCTTTGCGGGGAACGCCAGAGTTGGTGATGATCCACGGGTGGCCTGACCGATGACCCTGAGTGGTGAGATAATGGGCAGACCTGGGGTAATCCATCGATGTATCAGGACATCTCCAATGAATTCATGTTCATCAGATAAGCCATTCTCATCGTTACATGAGCTGCAATAACATAATTGGTTATAGATGATCGGCCTCGTAGCAAACCAAGCACAACTCACCAAGGTGTGATCACACTACGCGATCTAGTTTATGTATTTTTCATTACTCTTAACATTTATGCCTGCCTGATTTATTCTAACTCTAGTTTAATTATGCTTATTCATGCCATCAGTGGAATATGTTAGTAGTTACCTTGAGTTAATAGATACAACTTACCCAAGTCTTAGCAAGGGATAAACACTCAGCATGACCACGTCAAGCAATGATGATTACCCAATCAGATCCAATCATTCATTCTTACAAACCAGGGCAGTCCTATCCATCTAGCTGGTCGGTTCAGTTGAATTAAAATTCGATAGTCAGTGGGTCCTGCTCCCATTGCTTGAGTAAACAAAAAAGGCCGCCAGGATCGTCGCACGGAAAAAGCAATAATATTAGGAAGATCAAACACTTCACCATGCAGCTACTCACAGAGACGACTGCAATGTCCGTCTTAAATCAACGGAAATCCTCATTACTATTCTCTTGATTTTCTCACAAGTCATCATGGATCTCAACTTGCTATCTCCCTGGAGCATCCCGCTCACACAATGGATTCTCGTCCAGTTCCTGACAGGATGGACAATCGCGTTCGCGCAGCCATACTCCAAAGTTAGACAGGCTGTCACAGTGATTGTCATCGCACTCGCCTACTCCTTCCAGACGCAGGTCCGGCAAACCTTCGCTGAGACTCGCGCGCGTGGACCCTTAGCGGCCATGTGCTGGGTGAACGTGCTCAATGCGATCGACCTGATGATGTTAAGTCGGGTCTCGTTCGACCAGCAGATCGCCTGGAAGACGAAACTCAACCAAAGAAAGACTTTAAACAAAAACAGCTTTTGGAGGAGACTCGTCTGGTCCGTCGAAATGGCCTTCAACTACCGACGCGTCAATACTCCGTGGCAGATCCGCGCTGTGCCCGCGTTCGACAAGCACGACCCCGGATACGTCCCGGACAAGTGGGACTACTTGCGTCGGTGTGCGCTCAAAGTGTGCGGCTCGTTGCTTGTGTTGCATTTCTGTACTATTGATGCGGGGGATGCTCAGCTTGCGGGTATGATTTCCGAGATTTCAGACTCTAAGAAGGTGTTACTGCCTACTTGGGAGGAATGGACGGCGCGTCGCGCGATCGTCCAAATGCTATTCACCATCTCTTTTGGGTTCGTCACTCGAGCGGCGATCCTGGGAATGTATAACCTCCTCGCCATGTTCTTCATCGCTCTTGGGGCGTACGAGCCGGTCGACTGGCCGCCGATTTTCGGCTCCTTGGGCGATATGTACTCGTTGACGCGGGTCTGGGGGTGAGTGTTCAATTTTCCGGTATGACTAGATACTAATCGACGTAGAATCGCCTGGCATCAGATCCTGCGCAAGCTGGTCACATCCAACGCGGATTTCCTGCTGTTCGACGTCCTGCGGCTCCCGCAGGGCATTCTTGCCAGGAGTCTCCGACTAATCATGGCATTTGCCACGTCTGCGTTAGTCCACTTCCTCATGGATCTGGGCTTCGGGGTATCCCTGGACAAGAGCGGAGCGCTGTGGTTCTTCTGTCTGCAGATTCCGGGCATTGTGGTGGAAGATTTGGTGTGGTGGACTTGCCACGGGATGATCAAGGGAATGAGTTACCGTTGGAGAAAGGCTATCGGATATGCCTGGGTAGGCCTTTTCTTTCTATGGGTGACCCCCGTTTGGCTGAACCCGATTATCCTACGGTTATACCAGGATGGTCAGAGAATACCGTCTCCGTTTTTGGTGTTCAAGGGAGTCCTATTCTCATGAATGGTAACATCTCGGTTACGCGGCCTCGGATACCACTTCTCTTTGGGTTGACGCAGGCTGCTTCTACACCGAGGACCGTTAGCTCTATAGATATCGCATCACTCAGTGTCAATGGTATTAGATATATACACAAGTTTTACGGTCAGTGGATTACCTAATGAGAACAGCGGGGATACTTGTAAACGACCCGCGAGTAAAAAAGTCCGGTAAAGTATGCAACTGATCGTCAAACCGAAGTATCAGTTGGCCTCTCAATTTCGGTCACTGCTTTCCATGAATCCAGTGGTAGCAAACTCCGAAGCCAAGTCGCTCTACACTCCTATAGCTATTTCACCCATCAAGTCAGCTCTACGGCGTAGTGGAATCATAGACTACTCGTTCTTGGAGCAGGGACAAGGATCTACTCTTGCGCTCTGATGACATGAGGCTCAACACAGTTTCAGCTTTAATTAGAAGGTCAGAGGTGGAGAAGGTGGCCTGAGCTAATCTGTGCGGTTCGAGTCGGTGCTCAACTAACCCTACTCGACGACGTTCCAGTCCCGCTTCGGATTGGCTTGGTTCAGTGCCATTTAAAGGAGCTGGACGACAGTAGACGCACCTAGCATTCTCAAGCAAGGTATATTGGGAAGATGGCTATACCAGGAGCAGACGTATCACATAATGATTGTGCGCGTGCAAGTGACTCATTGACAGTGCAAGTCGAAGATCGTAAGGTCCAGGGTACGAGCTACGGACAGAGTGAAAACTTTAATCAAAGTCAGTCTAAAATAGCCTTCAGGGCTGAGTCTGAATCGGAATGAACCGTTGCTGACCATCTCCACTCGGGTTATAGTGTCAGGTGAGTGCACATGCCAAGGCTGTGATAACCAGTAAACTTGTTTTCTGCAAATCATAAGACAGCCCGTCAGACCTTATTGCTGCCATGTCGAATGCATCAATAACATCAGGCACAGCCTCAGCCTTATGCTCTAGGCGTCAATGCAGAGAAGCGGCGCAAGGCTGCACAAGGCTCGCTAAAGGAACCATAAATTCGGAAAGGGATACGAGCAGCAAGAAACTAAATTTTAGCTCTGCCCAGAGCTGAAAGGAAAATCCTCCCTGAAAAGGAGAACAAAGAAGAAGGTTGAGGCTATCCGATAATTAGCCCCGTCCGTTCCAAAGGTCCATCGACACCCATACGAACTCATCTCCACGTCATCTCCATTATCACGATGCTTAGCCATCTATTATTACTGTCAAGCAGAAATCTCGCAAATCAGATGCCACCAGATCCCGTTCCCTAAAGGTTCTGGTCTGCGATCTGCGGAATACGAGCAGTCCCTTCCTGTGGCGCTTTGTCTCTGACCAGTCAACAACGGCAAGGCACTTTTCTTCCAGCGTGATTGGAAGGCACAAGCGAGAGGAATGATGCCGCGACACGAACTTAGCTCAAGCGATAGTCATGAGCCTGGGTTGAAGGCTATTAAATACAGCCTGCGCCGCCGCAACTACACGTCTACGTGAAGTAAAAATCTCAGAAGACCAGAGCAGCTAGTTCGCAGATACCAAAATGCGCCTCCCGGCCATCGTCCCCCTCGCCCTCCTGGGCGTCTCCTTCGTCTTCGCCGTCATCGAGCTCGGCCTCGGCGGCCACATCGCCTCCTTCTATACCGGCTCCCACAAAACCCTCGTTTACGACCCCAGCAGTACCTGGGGCTACTCCTACAAGACCATCAAGTTCTCTGTCCCTGGCATCCTCGGTTTCCAGATTTTCACCGCCGTCTGGACCATGCTCGTCTCTGTCGCCGCGTTCCTTCTTCCCTGGTTCTTGCGCACCAAGGCCGCCCCCGGAACACGTCTCAGCACGATTATCACGTACGCGCTGGGCGGCGTCTACTTTGTGACGATGGTGTTCTGGCTCGCATGCTTTTCGGATATCGCGGCCGAGCTGGACGGGTTGGGCACTTCCTCCAATTACTATAATGCGGTGATGGCCTTTGCGGTGCTTTTGTGGTATGTTTATTTTTCACTTCCGTTTAATCACCCCCGAAGTTGATGTGGCTAATGCGAGTGACCAGGCTGCTCTTCGTCGCGCTCTTCGTCATCGTTGTTCTTGCCGTGCTTGGCATTCTGGAGATTGACGCCCCCGGGTACGCAGGCATGAGGAAGAGGGCTGCGACCGAGGGAACCCAGATGCAGACAGTCGAGGCTGCATAGGTATGATGTCGATGTTCCTGGAGAGTAGCAGTGGATTAAGTTCATGATAATCCAGCTTGCTTGTCACCGGGAGATGAGAGAAAAGTGTATGCGACGGGGATGATGTCGACGGATGATACCACTATATACCCATCCTTAATTTAATAATTCTGATATCCAATCAATCTATTTCTTGCACTCATGTGCATATGCATCCTCACTGTTAATGATTATGCTTCTGCTCAAGCTACTGTTTCGGACTGTGCCACGCATTGCGTTTGTCAACCGGGCAAGAATCGGTCATGATGTCGCGGAACCTGGGGGCAGCGCATATCTTCCAATCGACTAACGAGGATGTTATGGGGCAGATTCAGGAGATTGGCCGCCGAGCGGGAGCAGTCTGCCATGGAATCCACGGGGGTTCCGCCCGTGATATAAATGCTGGTGGCTCCTTGGAACTTGGGGGAGGCCGCCGCAGTAGGGACTCCGCGTCCAGGAACGAGATGTGAAACCGAGATTCTTCACTCAGGAGCCCTAGGACAGGAGTACGTGTGCTGTGCCATGGTGGATGAGATCCAACACAAGTTTATCCTTCCGCCGGGAATATAGCTGATACAGACGTTTTCCAGCAAGATGTTCGTGATCGAGCAGCCTCCCGGTTTCGATGTGGCGTACTGATGTGGTGCCTTCTTGTTCTCACCTCCATTCTATTCTGATTGGTCAGATGAGAGCGAGGAGACCGGTCCTTGGTATCAACGTATCGAGCCGTTGTGTTGAGCCAGGATGTAGTCTGTCAGCCTCAGTGAAATCTACAGTGCGACAAACATAGCCCTCATCCGTGATTGTTGTGCGATATCCCGATCGCAATAACGAGCGAGAGTATGAAGATCACCAGATTCACCTGTATCCATTAGCCGACTTTCGCCCTGGAGGGAAGGAAGCATACCTACCAGACCAATTAAAATCCCTATCCAATTCAGCTGCCAACCCCCTGCTTTGACCTTCCCATGTGCTACAGCGCTCTGCTGTCTCCAAAACCGATGCGCTCCCATCAGAGCGATCAGAATGGCAATCACATGACAAGTAACCGCAAGAGGTATCCCAACTGTATAGTAACTCAGGCGAGCATGGTCAGCCGTCGTGCTCTGCAGACGGAACAGCTGAGCGATCAACACACCCTGCATGGCAACGGTGATCGAGGTACGGATATACGCCAAGAATGTTCGTTCCAGCGCTAGAACATGTTAGCTTTCGAATTGCTTTTTTCGCTTGCTTAGTGTCAATTCTCTGATCGGATTCTACAGATGGAGAATGGCCTTTGAAAATAAATTTCATCCAATTCCATAACTCAGAAATAAGCATACGTACCAAAATGGTCACGGTTGCTCTTTTGTGACACCGTCAAAGTAACGTTATTTGCCCAGAACCGTTGAATGCAGCCCAAGAGCCCCTTGCGTGGCTGCCGACTGGAGCTGCTCCGGGATACCGTGCGACGAGTAGTGACTCGGAATTCCCCCGAGGATAACGATCCCGAGGAGAGATCTTCCAGCTGGTCATCCTGAGTTGGCATTTGTTGGAGTTCGAACCAATCTCTCTCGTCTATGGCCCGGCCGGTCAGTCGCGAGGCGTCACTCTCGGTCGGCGACTGCAATCCAGATTGGTGAGTGCCGGAAACGGAAGAGGTTGAGGAGGAGGGCTCAGCCACAGGCGCATGTTGGCTAGAAGGGTTTGCCATGATTGTCACGAAAGATTATGAGGCTTATGCGATGTTGTCATCGTGGGCTTGGATGATGCGATGGGGGAGGAGGATGAGTGGTGGGTTGTGTCTGGGGTAAAGAGCAAGCTAAGTACCAGGGCCCGTCTCTGTTTGGGTCGGCGAACCCGGCCGGTTCAGGCAATAAGGCACGTCCCTTAATCGCCGATCCATTTAAGTCCCAGTGCCCACAATTAACTTGGCAGTTGATATCAAGTTGTTTCTCTGGTCATATCGGGGTTTGTACAATATGCGGTGTAGATACTCTACGATCATGTCCACGAGTGAAATGCAGGAATGCAGCCAACGGATACCCGAGTGTTGCGTCTACATTTGACAGGTCAAGCCACGGCCGTTCTCCTTGCAGACACACATGGAATTAGCCCTGAGGTCACGAACAAAATTGTTCGAACCTGCCCTGATCCATATCTCTTTTTTAGTACTGCAGGAAAATGCCATTGATATGGTCAAGTCGCGGTCGCGGAATACGTCCCGTCTCCGGAAACGGAAAATTCTTGACACTGCTTTTTGCTATTGTAGGTGTGGACATAGGAGACAGTACAAGAGCTGAAAAGAAAAAGTCGACGATGGAAATAATACTCCATGCAAATATAGATGAGATCAAATATACAGAGTAGAAAGGTCAAAAAATATAGGAAGGAAAAAGAAATCTCCCCGACAGGGAGTCGAACCCTGGTCTCCCGCGCTCGTTCTCATATGAGTGACAAGCGGAAATCATGACCGTTAGACCATCGAGGATTTCTTAGTAGGGTTTGCACTTTTTGAATTTATAAAGCAAAATTGACAAACAATGGATCCAAAAGTGATGACCATTCTTTTGAAACTCCCTGCTGACAGAAAGCCAAAGCCATTGTTTGTTCCATCTCATAGAACATTTCTAAACCTATGTTATCTACTTACAAAAGGAAAAGCGCCAAGAATTCGCTGGCGTCGCTTACTCGTTACCAACCACTACATGACCACCTTCACACTCCAGTATATATTTCCGCCTGCGCTTTCCGTCCCGATCATGGAATCCCAACTACACCGACTGTTGCTCATTAAACACACCTCCACTTACATGAAATCTCGTCAAACAGCGCCTGCTTGAGAAACGCCTCCCGGGGATTTTGGCTGTTTTGGTCATAATCGGATTGATCGGTCAGTACATCCGTTAACTGGTTGCGGTGTCTATGCCTTCCAAAATGAGAGCAGAAGTGTCATATTGCATGACTAGTCTGAATTCGTATGCTCAGAGTTGATGCTACCGATAAAAGATCCAGTTGTCAATTCCTTCTCCGATAAGTACAGGTCATCATATTCTTTTCTCTGTCACAGTCACATTGGAGGCAACCACCTGGTACTCTCTGCTCCCCACCACGAGCATTTATGAATCACCCTGTGCAGAGAGTCCTTCGTTTCTAGTGTGAACGGTACAATCCCCAGCCCGCCGACAATTCCCTCTGGATCATCATGCGGGGGTACCTCCACTACAAACCTCGCGGCCCTAATCTTTGTCAAAGGCCTCAGCAGGGGTGATAGAGGAAGCGGCTTGTACTGTGTTCCGTTGTCGAGTGAGCGTAGCGTGACGACGAGTCCCTCCAGCGCCTCAACACCCGCAAGGACAGCGCATGCCTGTTCCCAAGAGGAGCAAACATTGGCGACGATGGCCCGGTTTTCAAAAGCGTGGATATCAAGCCGGATATATCGTATTGATGCCAGCCGACGAGGAACCATACACAGTGGTAATGCCTCAACCGTAAGCGGACTGTCGAAGTGGAAACTATTCGCTTCGTAGAGGAGACCAATCGCCTCTGTGTATCTGTATAGCCAATGAGAACCCTGCCATGACTAGCCAAGTATTTGACTCCCAGGGAAAGCTTACACTCTGCGACAGCTGCAAAGCAGCGGCAGTATCTGGTCCTGGTGGGGCGTTTCGCCGGGCAATCGCCTTGCCACCGTGCCGTCGTCGGCCCAAGGAGGCTGACAGGAGCTGTGGATATCATTTTGCATGTCCGCCCGTGGGTTTAGACTCCTGCACGGCATGCTGCAGAGTCTCCGATGGGTTCGCCGGACATGAAGCGCGTTTGAAGGCACAAGAACCTCACGATATATTATGTACCGAATTTCGGGGGCCAGCTTCGTGAAAAATAGGGACTGGAGCTGGTCGTGAGATCGTCGCTGCACATCCTCCTCCTGTGGCCGGAGAGGAAGGGTCAGAGAGCGGCGAGAGCGTGACAGAGCGACTGGTGGACGGCCACCTTTCTTAAGGATTTTCTTTACAATCTCCGTCGGATGAAGCGCATACCAGAGGCCGTTGAAGATTAAGTGCACTGCCCAGAAGAACCACAAGCTGATAACAAAGAGGGCGACGAGGAGAATTTCCGCTATTCGTTCCGCGATGGACGTGAGGCTCATCCCTAGTTACAACTTTTGTCGCTATTATTGCCAGGGTCAGTTCTTGTCGATATGATAGCGCCTCAGTTGGTTCAGAATATTCAATATAATAAGAACTCATCAGGCTGCCGGAAATCAGCCTGGAATCTGGCTTGTGCCTTGCCTCGTGTTGGTCTTGGCGGTAGCCTTGGCCGTCTACGTTCCAGTTGGTGCAAAATATCAGTAGCATGATCATGTTTTGGTTAAAGCATCCACTCCTATACAGTCATTCTCGAAATCGCCTTGACCAATACAATCTTGATATCTCTCTTCTGAAGCCACTGCCAAGGCCTTAGAGTGAGTAATTTATTAAGTGTGCCATACTAACTAAATAAAGGCCCGTTGTAAGCTGCACCTTTTACCGTCCATTGCCTCATCATGTAATATTACCTATTGCGTATACACCTGCCATGGGATTTTACGGAACCCTGTTGTAGGGCTCTGCAAACCTACGAGGCGAGAGCCACTCAAGCCTGATTTTGGAAGAGCTGCATGGTGACAGGAGCTTCTCTTCTTGGCCTGCAGGATAGGCACCGTCTTTCTCCAAGGCGGTCATTTCCAAAAGAGATCAGGAAACTGTTGTAAACAACCGACCGAACCGTTTCAAGATAGAAATATGGCTATGTAGTTCCCCTTGCCCTCCAACCAAAACACAAGGAAAGCTGATAGGGGGATATGTTATCTTTCCCGACAGAACCCTAGAATTAGAGATTCACATTGCCTACAGCCCCGATGAAGATCTGCCTTTTCTTCAATAAAATAGCAGATAATCCTCTTTCGGTCTGCCTCCTCCATATTCGGCACTGTCGCAGCGTAATGGATCGGTGGCCTGCCTTCTTGGTCTTTACGACTCATATCTCCCCCGAGTTCGGATATGAACTTGATCACATCTATCAATACCCACTGCGTCATGGCAAGATGAGCAATGGTTTGCCCGTTACTGTTAACTGCATTCGGGTCACAGCCGGAGTCAACGAGCAATTTGATTGTCGATCTGCACTCGGGTTCAGAGGTACAGTGGGGTGCAAAAAGTATTCGACCACCCCTTACCTTACCGCCTAGTATTCTGCCAGCAGAATACTACCAAACGCGTAGATATCCATTATCCATTACCTAGATATCAACAACGGTACAACCAAAATGGGCCGTAAAGGCAAAGAATTGAGCCCTCAATTACGCTCACGAATCTGCGAGTTAAAGAGCATTGGATGGAGCTATTCTAAGATTAGAGCTAAGCATCCTGAGGTGCCTCTTTCAACTATTAAATCGACTGTTTTGAATGAACGAAAACGCGTTGATAATCAATCAAAACCACGTTCTGGACGTCCTCGCCAGCTTAGTGAGGTGCAGAGGGATCATCTCTATGATCTAAGTCAGTCTTCTCCTCATCTAAAGATGCAAGATCTTCTTACTGAGGTAGATGGTGCTGTGAAAAAGAGAGCATTACAATATCTTCTTCGAGAACTTGGTCTTCGCAAATGGAGACAGCTTCGTCGACCAGCTCTTACTGGGGAACAAGCCTTAGCTCGTCTTAACTGGGCAAACCAATATCAACACTTTACACCGGAAGATTGGGCACGTGTTAAATGGAGTGACGAGTGCTCAGTTGAGAGAGGTGTTGGTATCCGACCAATCTGGACATTCCGACGACCAAGAGATCAACTCCATGAGCATGATGTCTGCACTCGACGAACAGGGAAGGGTGTTAGACAGATGTTTTGGGCAGGCTTTGGTGAAGAGATACGTACAGGTTTAGTCCCTCTGGATGGTGATCCAGAAGCTCCACGAGGGGGGGTATCAGGCCGGGTGATAAGAGATCTCTATCAAGCATGGCTTCCTGAGCTTACTGAGCCTGGTGATATTTTCATGCAGGATAATGCCAGAATCCATACTGCAAGGATTGTGAGAGAGGTGCTTGATTCTCTACAGATTGATATTATGGTTTGGCCTCCATACTCTCCTGATCTCAATCCAATTGAGAACCTCTGGTCACTTATGAAGGAGAAGATCTATATGCTTTATCCAGAACTGGAAGATGCACCTAATACTGAGGGAACACGTCAATTACTTATCCATGCAGCTAAGGAGGCATGGCAAGCTATAGATACTACTATTCTTCAAAAGCTATCAAGGACCATGCCTAACCGGGTGAAGGCAGTTATTGAGGCAGATGGTTGGTATACGAAATATTAATGGAATTAGTATTCTCCTTCCTAACTAGGTTTAGCTACTAGTAGGCGGTAAGATGAGGTGGTCGAATACTTTTTGCACCCCACTGTAGCAAACGAACCTGTATAGTAATGTAGTGGTGTATTTCGGTCTCCATTTCCTGAGCCCACTATTGCCCTATCCGTTGGTGAGATTGTTCGGAGTATATGCCGAATAACACGGTCACACTCCCATTCTTTCGCGGCAGTATGAAGGACAGTGTTTCCTTCCTCATCTCGAATCCTCCAATCGGCACCGCAATTTAAGAGATATTTTATCAATCTGAATTTAGCGTCGTCCTGGTATTTGCCACCACCAAATCTGCAAAGTAGGTGTAGGGGAGTCCGCCCCCTCTCGTCTTGCGCATTGATATTAGCGCCTGCGGAAACAACATAGGTGACGGTATCATTCACATCCTGGTCCGGCACATGATCTCCATAATACCTGCACGTCCGCAACATTTCGTTGGCAACTGCGGTGAGGTCAAGGTGAACCTTTCCCTCCTTATAAAGGTCACAAAGCACGCGAACTGTACCGGCATAAGCCTCGCGGACACAGGTCTCAAGTCCTTCCTGAATATAACCATTCGATGTCCAGAATGCTGGTGCGTCGTTGATCCCCGCAATCAAAATAACTAGTTCCGGACACCGGCCCAGAACGGCGATATCAAACGGCGTTTTAGGCTCTGTATAGCCTGGGTTGTTTTGTGCTAAAGGATTGGCTCCAAAATCGAGGAGCAGCTGCACCGTCGCTATGCTCCATGTCCTGACTGCGGAGTGCAGGACTGTATCTCCATTCTCATAGAACATAGAGATCTTCTCTGGAATCCAGGATCTAGGGACACCTTTGAGAGAAGCAATTGGCTCGTTGATATCGTAGCCGCGGGGGTCCGATTTCATTGCGCTGAGGAGGATCTTGCTAACCCCGACGCGTTTTTGTAAAATAGCTGAAATCAGGGGCGGATGGCCATATTTATTGGCAGCGAATACATCTGCCCCGTTGGCGACGAGAATACCAACTAAACTGTCGTACCCCCGGCGACTTGCATAATGTAATGCGGTGTGCCCATCAGGTGTACAATGAGAGATATCCCCTCCAGCAGCCCGAATAGCCCATATCAACTTTTCGACGACGGGTTGTGAGGTGCCTGCATGCACATAAGCCAGGATAGTTCTCCCACGGGCCGGACTGAGGACATCCGCTCCAGCATCGATGAGCTCCACGGCCATTGCCTCTTTACCCTTCTCTAGGGCCGTATGTAGAGGTGTCTCGCCATTCTGATTTCTCACGGAGACATTAGCACCCTTTTTCAGGAGAATATTCATCAGGGCCCTGTTCCCAGCTGCTGCAACATAGTGGAGGATAGACCGGCCCTTGGCAGCCTGTACCGCGAGCAGTTTCTCCGAGTTGGAGCCAAAATAAGCGAGAATGAATTGCGACCGTAACCTTGCAATGCTAACGCTGGCTTTTGGACGGACAGAATTGAAGAAGAGCCTATCATATAAAAGCCGGGTCCCGATCCGAGCGAAGAATGTTGATGTGCGGACGAGCCTTGCGAGGTCTGATAGGGGGAGATGTTCAAAGATCTCGGAAAGGATCTCTGAAGGGAGTGATGCGAGGGTTTGTGGCACCATTGTTCAAAGTACATGACATATTCAAAGGTGCAGCTGAGTTGAAAGAAGGGGGAACTGTTGACTCTGTTGATTTCAAGGACCTGAGCCCTCCGAACGGGTGCCGGGCCTTCTGGGGAGGCGCAGAAGCTGGGAAAAAAAGCTTATTGACGAGATGTTTTCAAACTTGGGAGATCCAAACATAGGTGGCTGAGTTCGGTTTCCATACTTTCTTGTCTGCATCGCGTAAATTTACGGAGTTAGGTACTGTAACACGCAAATCGGATTCTCCAGTGACACCCCGCAAGCTTAGACCTGGGAGGCTTTTAGCCGGCATAACGTTACATAATCATAGAGGATGTGGGGCGTGGGTGTCCAAACTTAGGTGTGACTGTACTGTCCCTCAACTGTATGCAGCCCCTTCAATGATTTTTCTGCGCTAATGCCTGGGCGGTGGGACCACAAAGTAGTTTTGAGTGTACCACAGTATATTGGTCAAGCCGATTTCGAGAACCGCTGTAAGCAGAAGATAAGACATTTCTCCCCGTGTTGTCTGTACGAAAGCCAAGCTCTCCCACGAACCGAGTCACCAATCTGACACACGACCGTAGACAGGAGGCCAGATAACAACATCAACATGGCGAAAAGATGAAACCCATTCCTCTAAATCCAATATATCAACACAATGCTCCCAAAAGTCTTGATAGCATTTTTACTATTCAGCATAAGTATTATCGCACATGCATCTACATGCAGCAGCGCAGTCCAAAAAACCCCCAGCGTCATCATCACCGGTCCCTCCTCCCTCAACATAACCCACCTGCTCGCCCACAAACACATTGACACCCCAAAATATCAATATCAATATCAACCCGTCAACCACAACATCTACCACCGCGGCGACACAACCTTCCACAGCTTCGCCTTCTCCCTCCAGGAAGAATGGCAGTTTGCTCTACGGGGGTATTACAATCTCGCGCGATTCACTGCAGAGTCCAGCGACGTTAACCTCGCACCAGGCTTGATCTGGGCCCAGGAGGATCAGCTCTACGTTCGTCTTGTCACTGGGACGCCTCTTGAGCCCCAGATGAGGACATTCAGTCTAGGGAGTGTTCAGATGGGGAGGTGGTATGCCGTGTCTGTTTTGGTCAAGTGGGATGTTGAGGGCAACGGGGAGCTCCGTTTGTGGGTTGATGGGAAGAAGGTACTGGAGAAGACGGGGGTAGACACGATCATGGACGATGGGAGGGTGTATCGGTTTGAGAGTTGTGGGATCGGGCGGTGTTTGGGGGTGTAGAGTGTCTTTGGACTTAGTAGAAGAGTCTGATTGCTACTGGGTGTGTACTAATATCGGCTGAGATGCATTTCGGTATCGTAAATGAGTTAATTGTTTTAGGGAATCATTGATGGGCGTAAGTACTTTTGTCCTTAGAGAAGCACTCATTGTCCTGAAACGAGAAAGACTGGTGTTGAGGCAGACGAAATAATGACAGCCAAGCCATATGTTAAAGATCGGAGATGATGAGGTGGATCATCCACGAGTTACTTGAACCTTACTATCCTCATACCGCGCAAGGCTATTCCGTGCCGTCGCATTGAGAACATAAAACGGCAGCATGGGCTGTGCCGTCTCAGGCGACAGCTGCGGGTCGACGACTTCCCTCTGGCGTGGTAAGGACATGGTCGTCTGGTCATGACTTCTCAACGGAGCAATAATCGCAGTGGACATATTCGGCATTGGAGAAAGATACGGCGTGCTAGGTCTGAAGAGGGGGTGGATGTTCTTCTCAATGGCATCGAGGAGAGACTCGCCAGCGGTCGGGGTGGGAGTCGGCTTGAGGGCTTCTGCACTATCCTCGTTGCTGGATTCAGGGCACCGAATGACGGTGTCGATGGATGGAGTCGATTGGAGCGACTTTTCCCTGCTGCGAGTCTGCAGAAAGAGCGGCTCGGGTTCTTTGCAGGTGTAGTAGTTTGGGAGTGGGGAGCGGAGGATGCTTGTTCTGATGCTCATCTCGCTCTGAGGGGACGGTAAGGGTTCGAGGAATGAGGGGACTGGTGATAGGAGGGGGTTTCTCCACTGTGGACTTTGTGGTGAGATGAGGTTGGCCGTTGAAAAGACTGATTCGGCTGTGCGGCCGATATCTATGGGTGGATTGGACACTCGACCGGATTGGTTGTCGAGGATGTTGGAGAGGACGAACGACAGGGCACAGAGAAATCCTTGACAGTAAGCTGACATCGTCCATACGACAGCGTGGGCTACGTCCATAGAGAGCCATACGCTGCTGGATGAACTCTTTGGACTGTTGAAGTAGAGATGTCTCACCCTCTCACCGCTGATGATGCCGAGATTGATGAAGATGATGAGACTAAAGAGAGCTCGAGCTCGGATTTTCCACAGGACCCATTCTGTCGCTTGAGATTCGCTCTCAAGGAATAATCGGTAGGATAGAATACCAACAAGAATGAAATTGACGGCTGTAAGAGAAACGCTGCTCCATTTGGTAGGATTGGGTTCGTTTGATGGGCTCTCTTGAAGCATATAGGATGCAATGGAGATAGCAAGGTCAACGAGAATAGAAAAAGCTGTGATACTGCCTACGAGGCAGACAAGCATGGTTCTTCCCATGCTGACTGTGTTAGGGGTTATAATAATGGTGGATACCGAGAGAGTAAGCAATATAAGCAGTGGAACGAGGGATAGAAATCTAGGGTGAACTCCAGATCGAAGAACACTGGGACGGAATGTCGGAAATCAGTGGGCTGGCGTGAGCATTATCATAGGCTTTTTCAGTAAGTCGTGACATTAAGAAAATGATATAAGTTTGCAAGTTGAAGAAAGGGAATCAATGACGACTAGACTACTTCGTATCAAGATCTAATTAGACTCGAGTTGGGTGACAGCGAAGGCAGCTTTGGATTCCAACTAGAGGTAGTCGGTCTATATAGACTAAGATGGAGAAAACTTTGTCTGTTCATTTTCCCAGTTGTCCACCTTCATTGGAGCTTCCTGTTATGATGGCCCAGACTCCAGTTCCACCTGAAATCGGAGTTCCTGATTTTAATAGAGAACACGCGGTTGGGGTTGTATACTATTCCCTGATTGACGTTCCACGGTCTGGTGGGCATCAGCCAGTGAGGAGTGCCAACGGGCAGCCTGGATCAAAAATCAGGGCAGCAATTGGATCCTTCGAGACCGAGTCCAATCGGGTCTGTTGCCTATTCCTTAGTGTCTCCTTTAGTCTCTCGTTAGCTTTGCTGTGTGGGGTCAACGGGACAGAAACTCGCCAAATGCCTGGTTTTACCTGTGGGCATGCATTTCATTGCGAATATTGAGACTGTCGCTGGAAGCTTGGACAATAAACTCCACAGTCTTTCAGGAACACTGCATGTTCTCTTTTTCTCCGGGAACCTACTTCTCTAAGCCTCTGTTGATCTCTGTGACCAGTCGTCTTCTCCCAGAGCAGTAAGTGCAGGATCCAGCTGCTTCTAACCATTGTCCACTGGTTTTTAGTGCGCACGAACATGACGGAAAATGATGTAATGATTATGGTGAAGTGAGCCATAATAAGGTTAATACTCCCATCTCAGGTCAAATGTATCAAAAGGACCGGTCATTCTTGTGATGATACACCGCTAACTAACCCACAGATGCTATAGTTTACTCAACTCGTCAGCATGGGACTGGCAATCGTACTTTATAAACCCAGGGTAATGCAAGTTTCTCAATCTACTATTGCTCTCCGTGTATCTCGTCCCGGCGGATACACAGAATATCAACAACTCGTTGACGAGATACAATCCCCGACTTTTACCTCCTTGGAGTTCAATATTTCACAAGAATTAGATAACATGCCTCCTAATATACATACCTTATTCAACGCTAACCTACTTCCGCTAACAGCGAGCCATGAAACACGCGAGCAGAATACAAAAAAAAGAAAAGCTAAACCATACAGATAGCGAAAGAGAGAAGACTCATCTATTCCAATTAGTCCAACGATCAATTCTTCAAATCCATCAAATACTTGACCCCCGAATCAACCATCCACCACGCCGTCAGCTCATGCATCCACTTTCCCACCGCAGTCTCCAACGGCATTACCCCCTTCTCCGCCTTTGGCTTCCACATCAGCGTCTCATTCATAAAGACCATCTGATCGTCTTTCTCCGTAATCGTAACCACCAAGCGACCTCGAACAGGTCCCAGCGGCTTGAATTCAAACTCCACTTTCCCGGGCGTCCGCAGAATGGCCCGGTAAGCGCCGCAGACGAGATCCCCCTCTTTGAAATCCAGGCGCTCGAGGTTCGCTGCCTTGAAACTGGGCTTTTCAGCCTCTGTACTCATCGTTCTGATGATATATGCTTGCGGCAATCTCGCGAAGTTACTCATATTCCGCCGTAGCATACGGGTCAGCAGCTCTTCAGTCGGCAGAGCGGGGAGCTTTCCGCGTGGCACAGATATCGAGGTCGAGTCGTAGACAGCCACTGTCTGCTCCGTGAAGACCTCATCGGGGGCGGTGGTGATATTGGGGGATATTGAGCGCGGAAGATGCCCGTGGTGCGCTTTCGTTGTGATGCGGGATTTGAGGTTCTGGCGGAAGAGGTAGACTCCCACGGCGGTGGTGCCGAGGATGGCGGAGGTGATGGGGATGAGAGCTTTCATGTTGAGACGCGACTCTGGTTTGTGAAGAGAATGGAGTATTTGCGAAAGTGGGCGAGCTCGTATGGATTAAATACTCGGAAGTGACAACGTCACGAGTCCGGATACGAGATCTGGATGGCGGCATGACCCACTCACATTCTTGACTCTATTGTTAAGCTGCGAATGATTGGCCCATTTTATGGCCAAGACAAAGTCAGGGACTGAATTATGTCCATAAATAGTCACAAGTGATGAATAAAATGCATAACTAATATGAAGATGCATATGACAACCTAGATCATTTCTAAAGAGTGGACGAGCAAATGGACGAAGACTAAATAATCTTAAAGGTGTATGGGCGAATGTCAGAGCTATTAAACAATTGATCACAAGATAGAGATAAATGACCATGAACTGATCTCTTGCCAATAATAAAACAACAAAATCATCTACAGTATTATTAGTAGATGTCGTGGAACTTAAGTATAAAAATCAGAGTATAGTGGGAATATGTTTTCTGTGTTCTAGATAATCATTCACTGCCTTATCTAGAAAGGAGTGAGATATAGCGTACATCGAATATAATGACCTCATCTAGAATTCACACTACAGACAGACCCTTTGCTCTTCTCTCCATCTCTAGCTATGATAGAAAAGCTAAGCGGAATTCAATATGAGCTTATTTGAAGGGCTCATGGTGAATATCTCTCATCATATATGCCCATACAAGGACACAACATCTGAGAGGAGAAATAAGCTCACTATAACTTAAGCCTAAGTGTAAGAATCGGTGAATGTAATCTAGCTTGTTGCCCTTAAGGTGAGAGTGAGAAGAATTTCAGGGCATAAGCATGTGACTTCTCACTTGTATATCTTCTCCTATGAACATCGTCTCTCTTCTCACTCACAATCACATAGGTCTCTCCAGTTCTCCTGCTGCATAAAACAGGGACAGAATTTACAATATACCCGTACAGGCAATATAGCCGCACTTTCTAGAATACACGCCTCGAAGTTACTACATCTGCCGACTGAAATCATCCAGCTTATAGTGGATCACCTGTGGCCCGACAAAACCATAGCGCTTCTCATTGCAGTCCCAAAGCTCGCCGATCTCATGAGTGATGAGCAACTGCAGTATCAAGGAAAATGGGGCTACACCATATTGCACCGGGCCGTTGATAAGAATGCTGAAGCAATAGTCAAGCTCATTGCCAGACGTTGTGCTCAGGAGCAAGTGGCTAATTGCCAGGGCTATACACCCTTGCATCTTGCTATTTCTGGAGGTCGCATCAAAATTACTAGGATGCTCGTCAATGCTGATTTTGACTTGTCGGCCAAGGATCTAGGTGGAAGAACTCCTCTTCATTGGGCCTGTTCTGAAAGCCGCAGGGACAGCAATTTTGCTGACATCGTCCAGCTCATGCTTGCTAAGGGGGCCGACCCTTCGGTTGTCGCAAAATTCAAGGAAAACCTTCTGCACGTGATCCTTGAGGACAACTTGAAACACAATCTCACCATCCTTCAGATGGTAATCGATGTTGGAGTCGGTGTCAACACCTTGGACAGTGTTGGGTTTTCGCCTCTCTGGTGATCTGCTACCAAAGGTCATGAGGATGCATTTGAACTTCTTCTTGCCCATGGAGCAGACCCATACATACGCACCTACCATGGAACGATTCTGCACCTGGCAGTTGTGTCCGAATGAGAGAATTTGCTGAAACGCACCGTGGAGCTCGGGGTTGATCTATCCGTGCGGGATAGCGAAGCAAACGAGACCCCATTGATGCTGGTCACTCGATGTGGGTTTGAGATCTTTGCTCAGATACTCAGGGATGCAGGCACTGAGACATGAATACTGCATTTCACCTCTTTTCATGCGCTCTTCTTGCAGTAACCCTAATAAGGATCGACAGGGCTACATTTTCTGAACGTTTTTGCTAGCTTTGCGATGACCGTCGGGTCACTGCACAAATTATGTGCCAGCCACTCATCAGACTTAACTCCTACTAATATTAACTGTCTCGGCTCGCAGCCTTTGGCGATGGTGGCAGAAGGACCAAATATGAATCAAGTACATCCAAAAATATGATCTATTCCTTAGGACTCATCCCTGAAACCACGAACCACGATACATTCGCAGATATATTGAATCGACTCTTTCAGCTAACGCCTATCCTCTTAGGTATTAAATGCATTCTTCAGTCCTACCTTGGTCAAAAAATGTGCTTTTCTGTCATAGCCTTTAATTTAGATCACCCCTCGCATTTATAGCAAATGAGTAGTGGATTGTCTCGTCGTAGGCGCCCTCGATTTCATGGTCTCTCTTGCACACACAGTGACTGACAACGTCGCAGAGTGATTGATGGAATATTGCAGGACTGTGTTGCCGCCTGAACCTCCTCCTTCACTTTCAGGAGAGGAAAGTCCATTTAAATGGTCGGGATGGTCCTTACATTTCCAAGCGAGTGCCAAGTGAATAATCAAGCAGAAGTCGTCTCTGCTGACATTGGTCACGATTGGGTTAAGACGATACTCGGTCTCCGATCCACGCGAAGTTGAACATCCAGACTTGTGGCCTCCTGCATGTTTTGTATGCTTCTCTCTCTTGGCATTGATTTTCTTTAGGGCCTACGCGCCTTATTCTCGAAGGAAATCATCCTTGTCACTCAGTACCATTGACATTTAGGTACATTTAACTTCCATCAGAATGCCTTGGTCAAGACATCATTAAAGCCATATTTCTCGATACATGGATACATGAAAGCAGCTGCATCCAAGGAAGTACGAAGAATCAACTCAATATACTTTCCTATGTATTAAGGAACAAGGGCGCAGATCCTATAATCTACACAAGCAACTGGGAGGAGACGGACAAACTGTACAAGTAGTCTTGGCCCTATGCCGATCACATCTTTTCGAGGCAATATCTTCTGCAAGGGATAATGCCGTCACGAGACATGTCCGAGCACTGCAAATACCAATCAACTCGGCCCGCGTGAGACACGCTGCAGGTGGTTATATTAGGGCGGCAGTCGGATGCTATCCCGAACTCAATTGTTAGTCTACCGTACGCAAGGGCCGTCATGTCATGATGCTGTCTACATTCACTATGTGTTAATAGCTCCGTGACGAAGGCGAGCAAGACATAACTATGCATGAAAATACCTAGTTCGGAAGATTAGTGCCCTCTAAATGTCGGTGTACTCGGCCCTGGGGTGACTATACATATTAAACAAAAGTACAAGAATAGATGACTATAAAGGTATCCATAGTATCCGGGGTGCTCTGGGTAGGTACAAGTGTGATAAATATAAACCGACTTGACTAAGGTGTCCAGGACCACCGTTTCTAGCAGGGGGGAATGGTAATGCAGTTCATGTTTCAACAAAGTGGCAAGGAATATGACCCCAGTACCAATAGGAATCACCCGGCTCTTTTTCTCCATTTATGATCTCGGGTAAATCAGTTCCGAGTACGAGAACTGTCCCTGTCAGTTATTCGGCACATTGATTCTTCCTCGAGTCAAAGAACAGGCTACCTCGGGCTAAGTCCGCCGGGCTTTCTCTTCTGGGGCAGATGAAACACAAGAGTCTCTTGGCAGTCGTCGGGGGTCTTGGCACGGAGACTTTTCTTCAGCGGTATGTTTCATGACTCTATGAATGGATCATCTAAGTAATGCCAAGGACCTGCTTGATTGTTCTTGCCCTGCTGTGTTAGTTGACGGCTCATGAAAAAAATTTCTTTATGTGCCCGGACTGTGTTCCGCTGGTCTTCCAGAGACTATAGGCAGGTCAAGGACAAGTATCTACTTTGTACATGCTGCTATGTGTATCTCCACGCGAAACCCAAGCTACATGGGTAAATCTCGGGTATCTCCCATACAGGGAGGGTCCGCTTCTCCACAGCCTCTGCGCTAGAACAGTCCAGAGTATGGGCCAGTGAAACCAATGTCCGACAGCCAAGAGATTATAAGGGCGCCAAGCTTATCGTACTTAATATTGGTTTTGTGGGTTTGACGGAGCAAAATCCCGTTCTTGTTCGAAGCTGTCGACCAGGAAGTGCCGTTGCATCTCCTGCCCTGCATACTCCATGTCTCTTGCATATTTCCCCGACTTCCCAAGAGTTGGGGAGTGTGCACTCGCCCCTGGAAAAGGTTGCATAACAGTCTCCAGTGATCGTCCTCAAACCATGCACCATACGAGTCAGAACCAAAACGCTCCACCAATGAGGGACTTTCAGGTGATTGGGTCCCCCAACGGGGTGAGACTAATATGGATTAATGCTGGCTATATGGGGTCCTGATTCATTAATCACAGGAGATACGCGTTCCTGACTCCCCTGACTCATGTGACAGTTCCCAACTGCTTCTCCGCCGATGGAAACCATGAGTGCTTGGCGTCATGGACCAGAGCGCTGGAAATATTGCTCTCAATGGCGGAAATGGGGTTCATCACCGCCGTTTCACTTTGATAGTTGCTTCATTAAATGTAGAGAACGGGTATAGTAGTGAGACATACCAAGAATGCCATATATCTCGCTCTCAGGATATCCTGATTCCTGACAGTATAAATTCAGCTTCCACTACCACTGTTTTGCTCCTCATCACCACACAATACTCATCAACACTCCAGACAAGCAAATCCTCAGTCTCGATCAATCACAATGTATCAACCTCTTCTTCTCCTCCCTCTTCTCCTCACCTCGGCCTTTGCCACCCCTCATGACCCTACCACCCACCACGCCCTGGACAAGCGCGCCTCCTTCCCCATTCCCGCCTCCAAAGGCAGCGTGACCTACTCCTCCGCGAAGTCCATCAGCGGCACCTTCGACGGCGGCCTGAAGACCTACGGCCGTGGCGTCAAGTGCAGCGGCCAGAAGGAAGGCGGCGACAAGGACGCCGTCTTCATCCTCGAGGACGGCGCCACCCTCAAGAACGCCATTATCGGCGCCGACCAGATTGAGGGTGTCCACTGCAAGGGCTCCTGCACCATCCAGAACGTCTGGTGGACTGATGTCTGCGAGGGTACGCCGTCTCCCTTTTCCCTTTCCCAATCTCCCTCATGATCCCCCGCTGACTTGATCTAGATGCCCTCTCCCTCAAGGGCACCGGCAGCGGCACCCACCGCATCATCGGCGGCGGCGCCCGCAACGCCGACGACAAGGTCATCCAGCACAACTCCGGCGGCAGCGTGATCATCCAGGACTTCACCGTGCAGAATTTCGGCAAGCTGTACCGCTCCTGCGGCAACTGCAGCAAGCAGTTCAAGCGCACTGTCGAGATCAGCGGCGTCAAGGCCTCCAGCGGCAAGTCCCTCGTTGGCATCAACTCCAACTATGGCGATACCGCCTCCATCACTGGCTGCGCCAGCAGCGTCAAGGAGATCTGTGTTGAGTATGAGGGAACTGATAACAATGACAAGGAGCCTAAGAAGAAGGGTTCGGGACCTAGCAATGCCTGCAAGTACAAGGAGCCTCTGTCTACCTGCTAAACAATTGTATTGAGGGGTGGAGGGGATGAGTGGGGATGAGTTGGATGAGAGTTTAGTGGCATTTGTTGGTGTATATACGCAGTAATAAGCTAGACAGTATATAATTTCTAGCTTGAATTGTACCACTACTTCAGAGTTCTCAATAGAAGAGCTCCCACATTTGTTGACATACTACGGTCGCGTCCGAGGATTCGCAGCCAACAGCCACTTCAACAGGGGAGATAGACTGTACGAAATCGGCGGATGTAAATACAGAATGCATTCTTCATTCTCAGATAACTAATTGATGATGCAGAATTCTAAATGCTCCCCTACGGAACCCGCCCACAAAGCAAGATTCAACAGCATGCTTCGACACCAGCTCTACAAACTTGTCCAAGAGATTTGGATATAAGCTTCAAAGCTTCATATTCCAGCACATACGACCATAGGGTGTGGAAAACAGGGCTTCCCGTCCGCTCAGCCGTACTTAAGCCACACGCCGGCCGGTTAGTAGTTGGGTGGGTGACCACCAGCGAATCCCGGCTGTTGTATGTTTTTGAAGGTATTTTTGTCCCCCAGTCGCGAAGGAACTGTTGTCTCGACAATCACAAGCATGAATTTTGGTGTCGAGCTAATTTTTTATTAAATTCCTATCTTATTCAATCCTTACTAAATTGTCTACTAAATTGTCTACTAAATTGTCTACTAAATTGTCTACTAAATTGTCTACTAAATTGTCTACTAAATTGTCTACTAAATTGTCTACTACCCCTAAGAGATCACACCTGCTCATAACATCACATCACCATCTTTTCAGAAATAGACAAAGCGTGTCTGAAGAAAATGGTCCAAGAGCAGCAAAGGCTGTCCAGACCTTGTCATATCCCCTCCCTGGTCGAATCCTCTTCGCAACAACGTACCACTTACTAGATTTAATAGTAAATCCAGCTTCATTGCACACCTTAGTAGTGTTACTGCCCCAATGCGACCGGATCTTTCTCAACCCTGCGTTCGCAGCGGACTGTGAGAAATCTTGTGGGGTGATCTCGGAGGCATGCCGACCAACAATCGCAGCTTCGTAGGTAAAAAGGTCCTCAATATATATTCTTCGTCCTCCTCTCTGGACTTGTCAAGTGCAACCCACTGGAAGCACTGAGCACCGCCGTCGTCACGTACCGATGGTCCCAGCTTCGCCACAAAGTCGCAAATAATGACGTAGGATACAGTTGGTTTAACCATGGCGCCCACCCCCCTGTAATTCATCACGATAAGCTTCAATTTTCGGCGCGTCGCAGTTTTCACATAATTACTCATTTTCGTGGTTGCTATGACCTGTGTCAATGACGGCGAAGCCTCATGATGACAAATAACGCTAGACACCATATATATATAAAGTAATTGCAAGAATAGTTCTTCAGTGTGCGAGTATAAGTTCATAATATTTCATTCTTTTTCATATTATCATCTCTAGGCTGCATAATCAACATGTTCGAAGCAAAGGAAACTGTTCTGGTCATAGGTGGAACAGGCGCCCAAGGAGTCCCAGTTGTCAAAGGTATTTGTTCGTTAGTTTTAGATGCAACTGCCGTTGCTAACCTTACTGGAAGCTCTGGCATCTAATTCAAAATATGCCGTACGCGTCCTCACCAGAAATTCATCCTCCAAAGAAGCTAAACTGTTGGCTACAATTCCTGGAGTGACAATTTTCGAGGGAAACACATATGACGAGACCACACTCCGCGAAGCGTTCAAAGACATCGAGTATGTTTTCGCTAACACCAATGGGCTTGCTATAGGAGAGAAGGCCGAGATATACTGGGGTATTCGCCTGTATGAGATTTCTCGAGAATTCGGCGTTAAGCACTTTATTTATGCAAGTCTTGAGTATGGGTCAAAGCTTGGGAACTTTGACCCCAAATACCGGTGCGGTTTTCTGGATGGAAAAGCAAAAGTTGCGACCTACATCTCTGCACAGCCAACGACTCCAATGGCGTGGTCTACTTTGACCTCTTGCCAGTATATTGAAGCACTATCAGAAAAGCTACGACCTCTCCCTGATCCTAAAAACCTGGATATCCTTATCTTTACAGCTCCACTCGGAGAAGGGAAATGCCCTCTTATCTATCTTGAGGACTATGGAGCTTATGCCCGATGGATGCTTGATACACCAGCTCGGAGCAATGGTCTGGAATTGCATGTTGCTACTGAGGATATTGCTTGGAGAGATCTTGCTTCTGCATTCACGGAGGTTACTGGCCAAAAGGCAGTATACAAGGACATCACATTGGATGAATACTTTGAATCTGGGATTTTTCCAAATCCCGATGCCAAAGTTGGCTATGCAGGTAGCCCTGACGATGGGACCCTGTTGACCTACCGGGAGGACTTCTCGGGCTTCTGGAATGTTTGGAAAGATAATTTGACGAAGAGGAATTATGCTCTGCTGGACGAGATACTGCCGACACGAGTCAAGACGGTAAAGGAATGGATGGTGAAAACAGGTTACAATGGAAGGCCTGCTTTGGTCCTGAAAGACTCTCGAGATCGGGATGCCAAAAAAGGCACTGGCGCGAAAAAGGAATGATTGTAACAGATTTCTTTTGGAGTATGGAGGCTTACTGTGGGACATAATTCAGCCTAATTGGATGATAGCAGTAACTTAAAATTGGAATAAAGTTTATGTAGTCTTGCATCGGAACCTGGCGAAGCATGCTCTAGATAACTTGGCTATAAAGGTGGAATGAATGCTCTACAAGCAAATTCTGACTGACCCTATTGCCCATTCTCGAACCTTGTTTCCAAAGTCCTTGGAAGTAGGATCTGCAATGTCGACCCATTGTCGATGCCTGCCATACACTGGTGGAACATCTGAAGAACTTGTGTGGTTCCGCATGGTTATCTGCTACCAAGTTATGCATCAGTGCGGCGCTGTGACCAAGTGGCCACGGCTGCCCTCTTGGCTGGTAGCGCGTCTAGCTCGGGAAGCCAATCAACCATATTGGACCCTATACTCTCAATAAAGAGTATGCGACTACATCCTATAAAGCTGCTAGCTTGTTATTAGTCTTTACTAAGCACTCCCTAAGTATAATACAATATATAACTACGTTAGTATAGTAGTAAAGATGGTAGTACCACCTCTAGCTAGAGTCTGGGAAAAGCAAAGACCCTATTTATAGGATGCCCCAAGTCCTCTCTCACCCGCATATAATGTTATATAACCAGGGTTTAAGCAATAGTTAACTCAGAGCCAACCCTGTATCCAATAACCAAGAAGTGAAACATGAAAGAAACATTTGGCCAGCAGGAAGAAGCCAGGGCAGCCAGGGGTCACCTCCCACGGACCATGGATGAAGTAGATAGTCAAGGCACACAATCACTTTTATGGTCTTCAAAAGCCTCCTAAGAAGTGGGATGTAAGGCCACTGAGTATACTGCACATGCTAAAGACTACAACTTGACTGAAAAAGCTGCGTCAGTAACAGGCTGTAAATATGATATGGGAACAGAAAAGCATCACAAACCTTGCCGTGGTATCAAGTCCGACTCCATTATATTCTAAGCCAAGAGGGGAAACGAGAGAAAGAAGGGAAGAAAACATGAATATGAATATAAATTATGGGTAGGAAATTACCAGTAGGAAGGTGTATGAGCTGCAGGCTCTTAAAATGTACATGCTCCATAACCTAGCTACCTGGTTAACTAGAGTTCACCTAGGAAAATCCTTTAAAGGGTGGCCACTCTGAGTCTGGGAAGTATTTTCCGCCCCTGGGTAGAGCTGTTCTGTTGGATAGATTCTCCCAAGCACATAGTAGCCTATTTTGTGTCTAGAGGTGATTTCATATAAAGTGGTTTAATAATTGCCTCATTAACTGTTCAAGCATCATAGATATAGAGTCAAGCATCTGTTGGCTTAGGTGAGATTCCTAGCAACCTTTTGGTGCTCAAATCCTGTTGCTAACTGACCAGCTAGGAAGCTTGAGGCGGCACACCTGCATGGAAATGTTAATATTTCTAAAGAGTGTAGATCACTGTATTAGGGTTTAACTCCTGTTCATTTGCTACAGCATCTAAACATACATTAATTGGTTAAATGAAGCTTTCGGGCCCGTCTAGTGTGCTTAGACATGCGCATAAATTTTAGTAGTTATCCAACGCAAATCTAAACTTTCTGGTTGGAGAAATGAAATCACCCTAAAAGATTTAAGTATGCCACTGTTATCCTGTGCATGGGTGCGTACTTACAGTAGCCGCCCAACAACAATCTCGCCGCAGCGACAACATGACTGGCACTGTGCAAGTCCTTGAAATTAACCCCTCACCAAGTAGGCGCTATAAATTGCCCTGCATGAATTCCAATCCATAACTACCAATACAATCTGGTTCTCCGCTCATATACAGTCCAACACGTCTTGTTGGCTGCACTGTTACTGGGTACAGAATTGGGGCGCAGGACAAGGTAGTGTTTCAGCCTGACGTTCCTGCACCGCATCACATGGAGGCAGTCAATGCTGTAGTACCTAGAGATACTCTCTTGTTGTTGTTGTCCCACCTTGCATCCTATATAGCACAAATAAGCGCTCTCTTCCCAGACGCAGAACTCGAACTCCCAAGTAAACTCCAGCTTCTGTTCTCACACCTAGGCTCCTCACTTCCCTCAACCATGGCACACTGTATGAACACTCCTGCCCAAATGGTCCTCTTCTACACTTTTCTCATGGTTCTCTGCATCGCCTCCGCCACCAGCCAACTCGTCGGCTGTGGCACCCTCAAGTGCGACTGCGAGATTGAGAACCGCACCCTGAGTGCCCTGGGCCAAGCGTCCTTCACCTCCTCCTACATCGAAAACGGCACAATGCCCCTAACCTGGACTCTCGGCCTCCAAGAGACACAGGACCCCGATCATCGGTCCAAAGACCTCATAGAACAATCCTTTTATCTCGGCCTGCCACAGAACGTCAGCCTCAGCAACACCACCGTGTTCGGCGCATGTGCTTTGTTCTTCACAGACATGACTTCCCTGCTCAAGTTCAAGTTTACAGACCCAGAGCATGGCACATGCCAGGATGTAATGGGCAAAGACTGCGTTCGGGATTTGATATCCCTAGCTGAGCAGTATGCGAGCCCAGACAGCTCCATGTCGAAGGACCGGACCCTCGATACAGAGGGGTTCTGTCGCGATCTTGCTGTAGCGTTGTACACCCACAACCCAAAGTCATGTCCGCTATGGTTGGGGCGCTCGCAGGAGAGTATCCATGTGGACGGTATGTCGTCGTAACATATACTGCGTGCATCATGAGGTACCAGCTACTGACTATGATACAGTCCTGACCGGCCCCTCCGCCTCGCCACCCATCTCAGACTTGCGCTCCTGCCGTCCCACCACCGGGGAGAACTACAGCGTCTCCTTGGTAGAGAGCTACCGGTCCGCGGTCCCGTACGGGACACCAGAATTGAATTTAACGCTGCATGGTATCACCCCTGTGATGACGGTGTTTTACTCCAACTCGTCGTCGTCGTCGTCGCAGCAGGCTATGCTGGCTGACGTCCACTTGTCGTGCTTGACAGTTGCAGGACAGAACTATTCAAGCACGTTAGCGAACTCGGTCGAGGCTACTGGGATTCGGGCAGTGAATTTGTGGGGTTTTGTCGGACTGGTGTTGTTTTCTGGGATGTTCTTATGGTTTTAGAGTGCATTTCGAAGGAGATGGTTTGACCTAAATGGCCGTGGTGACTTTCAATATATGTTTCAGTGTGCTTGTGCCCCCTGTTGCATTGTTTCAGCTGGATCTATACTGGCGGTAAGGATGACGTTCGCCATTGCTCTTTTATGGCATTGACTCAAGCAGATGATAAAATGCACTTCTGATCCCCTTGAACTGGAACTTTAGAATATCCCCAAATAGGATTGGGCCATTAGTATCTCATTCAGTGACGTTAGTCCTGCTGCAAGCCAGTGTGAGGTCAATCCCTCAGTTTTGTCTACCAGAGGAATTCATATGGCATAATGGCAATTGTTTAAATCCTCCACGCTATTATTCAACAAAATAGCCATGGCCCCAGTCTCCTGTTCTAGTGCTAAGATTTTATAGATGCCAGGGTGGCCAGTTACTAGACTAACAGCTAAGGAGTTCTTAGAATCAGAGCCACTAGTCGTGTTCTTCCAAACAAATAGCATCTACAGATAGACATGGTAGGTTTAATTTACTTGACAAGATCATCCCAAGTTAATTGAATGTGAACGTGAATCAAGACTTAAAGCATGCAGTAGATGGGGCTGTCGAACCTAAGAACAGAAAGCACAGGACGCACAGGAGAAGACAAAATTATACAACAGGCAGAAGAATCAACTGGTAAGGATCACTTCCAATGCACCACCTTCTTATATTCCTTCTCTGGAATGTCCCTCCCGGTAATCACATCCCTGGCATGAAGTCCTGTACCGGTGACAGTCCCATTACTCGCCCTCATAGCCTTCAAGTCCACATCGAAACACCCACTGGGAACAGCCTGTGAGCACAATGGCCATAGTTCTCCGGTGCACATGTCGCAGAACAGGCCTTCCTTAGTCGAGACAAAATCCGGCCCCGCAGCCGAAGGGCTCTTGCACAGCTCGGTGGCTGTGTGGTCTCCATGTTCACTCACGACCACAACCCGATGATCCGCGAAGCAAACGCGGTCATTCTGCCTGGATTTCACAGATCGCTTTTTGACGCCGTACGTCGGCGCCGAAACGCGTCCACTGGTCCACTGTTGCAGCTGCCGGATCTGCTGCGCTGTGGGCTTGTCGTTCGGACCGGGACTGCACATCACCTGTCCGGGGGTTTTGAGGGCAGCAAGGCTCGCATCGGTGCCATCGTCATTATATGTCAATGGGGGGTTGAAAATCGGAAGGCAATTCATCTCGGTCAGGGAGGAATACAACGAGAACCGGGGCGCGCTGGCGCACATCGTGTCACGGGAGTCCTGATACTGCTGGACGCGGCCCTGGGTGGCTGCGAAATCAAGCAAATGGATGCCCGCCCCCTGGGGGAAGTTGCTTGTGGTCTTCCCAGTGTCATGCTCAGGCGAGTCGATCCAAAAACATCTGGGCTTGAAGGGGTCGCCGCTCTGACGCTGGACGGGGAGGTTGGAATGGTACCACGCGGCGCCGCACTCTTTGGGGACGTCTCCGAAGAAGCCCCAGAATTCCTTGTTGGGCGGCGTGATGTAGATGTACGCTATGCAGAGAGCGTCGTTGCCACTGCTGGACACGCTGAGGTACGCCGGGGCGCGGTTGTTGCCCTTGTTGATGGGCTCAACAACGATGTCTTTGAAGTTGCCATCGCCAATCTTGCCGTGGCGGGCGCCGCTTTTGAAGCCGATGCGCTCGCCGCTCTCGTCGAACAGAGCGATGCTTGGCGTATTGCCGCCAGTCCTGGCGTAGTCGGCGTCCCTGGGCAGTGACAGACCGGCGGCCACGCGGACGACTGTAGACGACCCCTGAGAATGTGGGAACATTTCGCTGACCATGGGGACCATGGTCAGGGCAGTTAAGAGGAAGGCAATTGCATTTCCTGCCATGGCTGCGGTCTTGGTAGATGCTGGGAGAGGATGAAGATACTTGTACTGCTAAAGATTGACTGGTTTACGATGGAACCAGCAACAATCAATGGTTTATATAGGTCTGCGATGCTCCACCACCGATGTTTTCTACAAACATGAACACCGAGTGTAGCCTGACATCTCGAACTGTTTCACTGTGATATGTGAACCAATCAAGATATCGGGGCTATGGAATGGAAGAACCCCCCCAGGATACATGCTCTATGTTTAGCACGCCATTGTTACTATCTCCAAGCAATCCAACAGTACTCGGCAATGTGCATATGACCTTGAAACACTTCTGCCTGAGCGTGTAGTGATGGGATGCTGATGTTGAAAGCTGTTCGGGGCGCTCGTCTGTCCTGTCTGCTCAACCAACTACACTAGTACGTTGGAAGGAGGGCCCCAATTCAGAGCGGCGCAACTAAATCGACTTTTCATGAGCTCAGCCTTCTTTCGGGGGTACGCCACCACTTCGGCTGGTTCTGTTGGCATCATGCCAGCCATGCTATTGGCAACGTAGAATTCTCGGCCTTGATGCCTGGGCATCCTGAAACTGGCCTAGAGATTGCTACGCAGTTCTTTTTGGGCCATGCACCTGCGCTCAAGACGAGAATAGACACACCCTGGTCCACGGATAGAACCCGCTTCCAACAGGTTTGTTGCTCTATTTTGGGCTTATCATTGACTTGAAACGCGGGTTACATGTGTCTATGTGCATTTCCTTGCGCGGGGCCCCGTGTCAGCCTTGTTGTTGGCGCACTAAAAGTTAAAGAGGACTACTGGATCAGGAGACTCAATGCTCCTCATCGAACGCAGAAGACCGACGAGACTTTATGGACCGGGGAACACTAGCAGCTGCACTACGCCTCTCACATCATTACAATGTAGACATCCAAAGAAACGCCTTGAACCATCTGGATTGGAGACGCTTATCTCAAAGTCTCCACTAAACCCTCGTGGACCCTTGGCACACGGGTTTTGATAACTATTCTACCTGTGGCTGACTCCTTTATATGGCATTACGGTGGTGAATGTACGGTATCTGTACTGGAACAGATCCATGCATGGTATATCAACTACGGACTAACATGTTCGTTCTATCTATAACTGCAGTCATCACATCTCAGGGCACTGAACACCTCTGCAACATATAGGAGAAGCTGCTTATAGGCCCTGTCAAGAAGGCGGCTCGTGGCATCTCTATGGGGAGGCGGGTTGTCCACATAGTCCACCCCTGAGCCTGTGCGTAACGAAATACCACTTCTGGGTCCGTCCGGGGCCCAGAGGGTGCGATGCTCAATACCGCGGCCGGACCGAGGGTAAGTAAGTAGTCAATCCAACATTCTGTTGGAATAGAGACATCAGCTTGGAACGTATATGGCGGAGGTAAAGACGTGGGGACGAAAGAGAGAGACGGACTCAACAACAACTTCTCACTTCCCGAATCAACACGCCCGCCCCCAATACCCGCGAAGATACCAAACCGCCTCGCGCGGTCTGTCTCGTTCCGTAGAAAATCCAGAAGGCTAGCCATCGCTGTCCAGATCTCTACCATATCTCGTAACTGCGCCGGCGTGAGACCACCACGATTTCCTTCCGCGAAGCCCCTCGGTGGATCAAAAAGCACACTTCTGAAGTCGCTGGCGTCTGGACTCCCCAGAGGACGCTGGGGCGCCGGGTTACCCTGCAGCCACGAGATCTGACCGGTGAGGTCATCGTCTCGTCCTTTCCACGCAGCGAAGAGGTCACAGATGGTCCAGACGCGCCAGATGGCGTCGTCCAGTTCCTTCGAGCGGGCCGAGCACGGGTCCAGAAGCGCACTATAGGATTCCCTGCGGAGGACTTTCCGGCAGTAGTACAAGAGGAGAGTCTTGAACTGGGCGAGTATGTGCAGGTCTTGTCGGTAATGGCGCAGGTAGAGACTGACGGAAAGATTCTGGCCTCCCGGCTGCTTCTCGCTTGCGTACACCCGGTCGGTGATTTCGCAGTGCTCCCAGGCTGCAGGGGACATCTTCCAGAGACAATCATGGATTAAGGATATCTCGTGCGCCTTGAAGACTCGGTATGTCGTCCGGTTGATGGTAGCCATGGCAAAGAGGTCATCCAAGCTGTCGAGTTGTCGAAGAATGCTCAGGATGATGTTGTCGTGTCTCTGGGGATAGCAACTGTCGCCGTGGTCTTGCAGAGAGTAGAATACCCAGGCATGCAAGGCTCCTCGTCGGTGATGGTCTCAAGTTCGTACACACTGGGGATCCTGAGAGTGACCGACGAGTCTGGTAGCTGGAAACTTGCAACGGAGCTTTCTTCACGGAGCGTTGGACTGGTGTCAGGCCCTCCGGACTGCTGCGACTCCGACATTGTATGCGAAGGAAGGAGCTGTTTGATCTCAGAGCCACGAGGCAGGCTCTCAAGTAGCGTTGCTTTTAGTTTCTGGATGACTCCCTGCAGTAGGAGCACATCCTCTGCTTTCAGACGCTGGATGATAGCAGGAGGCATCGATTCCCCAACCACTACCGAGAACGCTCGTTGTATTCGAGTCGTCGTGTCTATAGTTGATTTCGACGCGCTGACTAATGCCTGAGGCAGGGCAAGTCTTGTCGTCCTGTCGGGCAACGAAGGGACCATTTCCGCGGGCAATAGCTTGGTGAATTTCACAGCAGCAGAACGCCTCTGCGTGTACGCAGGTGGGGGACTACACGCCTGCCTCGACCCTGTGGATGCACGTGAGGGAGTTCTGACGGAATGTGATGACGCTATCAGTCGGGTTTTCCGACTTGAGCTGAACTGGACAATGCGGTTCATCTGTTGAATCAAAGAAACCCAGAGACTGTCAACTCCAGAACTCTTTCTTTTGCTCCTCCCACATTGGTTGGCCACTGCGAAAGTCTGCTGCGTGCGTGCCGAGGAGCGTACAAGTTCCGGGGCCAGGAAGTGAACCGTCCGAGACGGCTCAGTCTCCAGTGTTGGCTTCGTCACTGTAAGATTGTGGCTGGCTTCCGGGGCGGTGCCAGAACGGGTTCCAGTGTGCAAAGAGGAGACTTCAAGAGTGTGGAGACTCCTTGCCTGTCGGCCTTCACACTCGGAGCTTTCTCGTGGTGTATCGATAACGGTCTGGGTTGGAGCACTGCTCTCATGATTGCTCGGTCCAGAGCAGCGAAATGTTTCGGGCTTGGTTTGTGAGGCAGGGGGTAAAGCTCCAGCTTTGGCTGTGCTTCGGGCTGAACATCAATGATTCGTTGCTCCGCACAGCGAGGGCATTGTTCACTGAGCCGATCTCGAGAGGGCATCCTCGCTAGCTCTCCCTCCCTCTCTAACAAGCCCGGCTTAGCGAACGCCTCCCGCGGCAATGGTGGAAGGGGTTTGTCCTCCCTCGTATTTCTTGATACTAGAATAGTCTGGTGGCTCTCCTGCGATAGCGACAGGGCTACCAGTGGGTTGGCTTGTGTCGTTTGTGCCATTTCGATTGAATCCCAATATATGCCCAACCCGTTTAAAACTTGGCTCGAACAAGAGGACGACATTCCAGACTCGGAGTCGTAAATGCTCGAAGTGCTCAGCGTCGCCACTTCTCTGACTGTTGTCATACTGATCGAGTCGTCCAGGTGACTTTTGTTCTTTTCACAGCGAACAGAGAACTTGGATCGTGGCAGGTAGTTTGGAAACAATTGCATTGGCGTAGATCGAGGGATTTCCATCCCCTGACATTGACATCGAACAGGCTCAAGCATGATTTTTGCAAGATATCTGCCCTGTATCCTGGATGGATGACAGGTTCAGCAGAAAGACGATAGGCACGGAACGAGCAACTCTCTGTTCAATCCACTACAAATATAGTCGCCGTTTCTCTTTCTCCGGGAGCTCTTAAACAATCTTTGAAATGGCGCTGTTTGGTCTCTCCTCGTGGGCAGTTGGCTGTTCCTCCAACCCCAACACTTAACGAGCTCAAGCATGGCTCGACGTGCATTCAATTCCGTGGATGTCTGTACCAGAATTACTATTCACTCAATAACCCCGCACCATGCGAAGGGAGCCAACCGTACATACGTGTTTGGCGCCGAACAATCAATATCTTGTTAATTGCTCGCTAGCCTCGTCAAGCCTCGTCAAGCCTCCAACTTGGCCCGGGTATGCTAGCTGTAGGTCTGAGCCCCGACATAAGCACCTAGTTCCTCCCCGACGGACCCTTATGCAGGGGGTTGATACTCGAGAAACGCTGATAGCATGATATATGATTCTGCCTTGTCTGTGGAGAAGTAGGCTGTCAATACATGAGGGTGCCAATAGGGGTACTCCGTAAAGTGGTGTTGGTGATAGCTTTGGCGCTGTTGGGTGGACGACAGGGGTCTTAGCTAACTGTTGGTGGCGAAGCTACTGTGCATGCGTCCATTCAGAGCTCCAAACCTTCCTGGAAATTAATTCTGTAACTGCTGATAATTCCATTGGCTATTTCTCTTTAACATTTGCTTGGGCTCGTTCTTTAGATACATTGGTGATCGGACCGCACGGGGCCAGCCTTTGGTAATATCAGAATACCAACGGTGTTGGTGTCTTCCGCGACTCCAAATCCAACATACACAGGGGAGAATTAGGTAAAGGCTTCTCTAATCATGGACAGTAGTCAATATGGAAGAAATGTAGCAGCCCGGCGGAATGCTGTAGACCAGGATAATCGAGCGTTCCCTGCACATTTGAACCTTGAGATGCAAGGCAATGCATCCACATGACCTTTGGTCTGTCCAGCCGTGGAGCTAACAATGTGATAGTTTCTGATGCTCGCTTAATTGATCTCTTGGTCCCTGTGTCCGAGGTTAGCTTGATTTTTTTTTCGCGGCAGAACGAGTTGGAATTGAGAATGCGGACAACATTCTTTCTTCCTAAGTGCTTTGAAGGGCGATATTCGACGCCCAACATGTATAGGTGTATAGATCTTCATTAATTCGAATAAGATGAGGAGCATATCGTTTCCAATAGCATTAACTGGTGTCCCTTGACCCTCGTAGAAAACAGCCCTTTCTACCTGATCTGCTGGTCCTGTGTCAGTAACAATATCACAAGCGAGGAACCTTGAGCCAACTCGGTTGACCGTCTAAATTACACCTTGAAACCAGACTATGTTTCACACTAGATGGCCTGGACAAGAACGCTCATGAGCCAGCGTATCGGAACGAAGAAGGCCGCCAAATACCAACGAGCGAACTTGTGATTCTCTCCAAAGAACGAGCACGATCACAATCCACCTGACGGCACAATACCCAGAATTCCTCTTGAAAGGGCAACTCTTGGGGGGACAAGCTGTTGGCCCCTAATATAGCACTCGGGACGAGGGGGAAGGAGAAGATGATGCCTGGGGTCCAGAGAATAGGTTAAATACCAGTCCTATTCCTGCTTCTGACGTGAGGTTTGATAAACAGCTTCCTCTATACTTTACTCATCCAGAGTTCTATCAGTATCGTCATTGCTAGCGCTGGTTCGAGAAGATCTGACTATCCCTGAGCCATCATTGTGCAACCAGCCCAATCCAGCCATGTATACACCTTTCGTTCAAAAGCTTTACCTGCTCCTTCTTTTGGGACTTTTTCTGACGTGGCAGGTTCTGACCCATCCGGTCCACGGGTGAGATTGATTCCTCCAAAGGCGTTAAAATAACATCTGCTGACCTCTCCGAGCAGTGAAAGCCATGCTCGATCCTTGATAAGCCCAACCATCGAGCCGTATGGACCCGCTGCACTTCATGTCAGGGGAGGCAAGCTATGCGGCCTGTCCTGTGGACGAACCAAGGGAGGAGATGGAGAGAGTGACAGCGGCGGTTCGCCCAGGGGTGGGAACAATATGCAGCTTCAACCCCATAACAACCAAGGAAATCCGGCCGCCATCGGTGCAGCTAGCGAAACGGTCCGTCTTTACAACGAAGTAAAAGGTAGACGCGACCTCTTCGTGCAAACAGGCCATAGCAAATTCTGGGAGATCAATCCAAACAATCGGAACCAGCGCCAGGTGTACTCGACGGGTGTCTGCTACGGATGTACCGTGGTGGTCGTCGCGTCTGGAAGAGGCATTTACTTGCATCATTTCCGGCAGAATGTGGGCACATTGGAACCCTTTGCAAACCCCGAATCGCAGGGCTTTGTCTACCACGTTTCAGGTCCATTTGATGACGCCATACACGCAAACGGACGGGCTTTTGAAGGCCAGCGGCCGTACATGGTGGTTGCGACACCCCCCCAGTACCGAAATGCAGTGGATTTCCTGGGACACACCTTTTCACATAGGTTCACGGACGGCACAGTGAGGATACAACCATATCAGGTAAGAATGATTGATGAGGATGCATTGGCAAACAGCGCGGTTGGGAAGGTCGTCGTCCAGTGGTTGCCTCCTTCCAACGGCGCCGATCATCGGTTGGTTGTGCGTGTGGAGGACAATGTGGTTGTCGATGCGCATTACAATGGCGATGGTCAGTTGCTGTCTTAGCCTATTAGGCCAGGAATAGCCTTGGTGACACGTGGACCGATTGAAGGTCTTTGAGACACATACCCTGAAGTGCTTCCTTGCCTCTTAGGAATCAGAATCCGGTATGCTTCAAGCCCCATCGGTCGTACGTCTGGGGTATGGACGGAATTCAGGGAATCATGCTTTGAAGTTGCTCGGATATGATATTTTTGTCCGTTTCAATTCTTTCAATCGTTGGATCATTCTAGATAGTCACATCTAGATACAATTTCAGGATCGTTTTGGTTGTTGTTGCTACTTGCCGTCCCCCCATTCTCAGCTGTTAGGCTTCCCGACGAACATTTTGGGCTGGTGTATTCCTTCAGCGCACCGCTTATAATACCACTCTCATCTAAACGGAATGACCCGTAGCTCATCGCCTTGTAGGTCTTAGGTGAGTGGTACAGATTCCCGGACCCTTCAGCAGTCCAAGGGCCTCAGCTGGTGGGATATTTGATAAGACCACCCGCTCTATCATTATCAGATCATAAGGGCCCCCTTTGGTACTACACCAAGTTAAGAGAGGGACCGCAATGGTAATTTAAGCTGATCAGTAACCAGGTGATCTTCGGGCCTAGCAATGGTTGCTAGCTGCTCATTGCCCCCCGAGAGCTTGTACTGAGTGAGGTTAGGCATGGCAGCGCTATAGTAATGCTGAGTAGCTATTGAACCAACCTCATTATTCTGAGGAATGAGCATAGGCTGCACAGCCAACACTGAGTGTTGGGCTTTGCTGATGGTTGATCAAGTGCTAGAAGGGGCGGAGTTGGCAAAGCAGGGGGCCAAGTAAGGCGTTCATGCGGGGAAATGTATCGGGGGCACCTCAGATGACGCTTGTGAATGCCAGGTATTGTCCTTCCAGCAAAGGATGCGTGCCCTTCCACTTATCACGCAGATCCATCGAGATGATGGGTTGTTGGAGAACTGTTGGACGACTCCTGCGCCGCCGTTGCCCTGTTGCCCTGTTGCCCTGTTGCCCTGTTGCCCCGCGGGTCACATGACACTGATTCATTTCCTCGTCGCTGTCTTGATTTCAAAACCGTTTCTTTCCATCTGGTATGTTTTTTCGATGACAAAATCATGACGGCCTATAGACCTTGCACCCTCCCCTTGGAGCTTATTGTGATGGTCGCAGACTATTTAGGTCCTTTGGACCTCTTGAATTTGATTCAGGGCATTCCCCACCTCGCCCCCCTTCTCAATTCTCAGCATATCCAGGCCCAGGACGATAATGGACGCACCATATTGCATCACGTTGTGGAACAAGGGCTTGAAAACCTCCTTAAACCTCTCACAAAATGGATCCCGCACAGCTCCGTCCCTGACAACGCAGGATGGACACTCCTTCATCAAGCGGTCAGGAACAGTGATGAACGGATGACAAAAGCTCTGGTTTATGCAGGTTTGGATATATCAGCCAAGGACAATGGAGGAAGAACTGCCCTTCATTTCGCATGCGATGTTGATGAAGTTGGGATTGCCCAGTTCCTCCTGGACCACGGAGCAAACCCGTCCGCGGCGGATTACAACGGACGCACTCTCTTGCCTAACACGGATCGACGTTGCTCAGTAATCCACGAGAGGCTGTGGAAAGCCGGCGCCGTCTTTCGCTCCCCACCGATGCCCCGGCCGATGCCACGAGGTTTGACCCCTCTTTTTTATGCAGCCTGGCTGGGTCGAGAAGACACTACCAGGATCCTTCTCGAGGCTGGAGCAGATCCTTCGATTCAAACAGAGAGTGGCGAGACCGTATTGCAGCGAGCTGTTTCAGGAAACCACACTAACATCGTGCGGCTCTTACTTGATGCTGGCGTTGATGTTAATGTGCGAGAGTCTCTTCATGGCCACACCGCCCTGCTGAAGGCTGCGCATTGGGGAGCAGATGACTCCCTTCGACTTCTCCTCAAGGCCGGGGCGAACGCTTCAGCAGTGGGCTACGATGGACGCAACGCACTGCATTTAGCAGCTACGATGGGCCACAAGTCAACTATCAAGCTGCTTCTAAAAGAAGGAGTCAACAGTTCTGCACAAGATAGTCAGGGCTACACTCCGCTGGACTGGGCAGTTGCAAGCGAGAATAAAGGAATCATTCAAATCCTAGAAGATGCAAATAAGAACCCATTTTTGAGGCTTGTGCATCAAATGTGCGGCGAATGTTACTCTAAAAACCAAACTGTAAATGATTAGATATTGGAGCACTGTGTCGGAGTTCTGAGCGTCTTGCAGCCCTCCATCTGGATAAACCTTATATACATTCTCTCACCAATGTTTGTGAGGTGACCTCTAGTTAAGATCTGGCTATACTTCTTGAACAACATCATACACTACCCTTGTAATATTACTGCTCAATACCATAGACAAGTGACATGTCAGGACATGAGTCTTGAAGGGCTTTATTCCATTTAAATCTTCTACATTGGAAGATAATCTCAAAACTGTCTTGGGGTAGGGCATGTGCATCGCAACAATTAGTGTTAGCAGCAGTGACTGAATTCTCGCACTGCCTGGTCTAGCACCCACGGTGCATGCACTGGTTCGGTTAGGCGAGGCAATGTGGTGGAATGTTAGCCTTGTCGGCCGTTCTTTAGAAGAGCAACAGAAATGCATCAGTGAACTTAACATTGACAGCGGCAGTGTCCTCCTTGCCGACGATATCCGTACCCACATGTGTGAAAAGAACCGTATATATGTCATCCTCACTCAAGTCTTTTCTCCCCTGAGTCAGGAATTTTGGAGGCAGCTTCCTGCACGCAGGGTCTTCGTCTTGCATGAAGCATTGCTGGAGACTGCATCAGACCCGTTGCCTTTCTCTCGTGGTGCGTTGTTCATGCCAACCAGCGTAACGACTCTGCATGCCGCGACCGCGTTTGATATCCTCCAACGGGCGCTGAATCTCGTCCAGAAATATCCTGAACTGGCAAACAACATTGCGTCTGTGCACGATATCAGCAACTTCTGTTAAACCATCAACCTTCTTCGCGAACTCCCTGACACTAAAATCAGTGTCGTCACGTACCGCTACCAGGACAGCCTTGTAGGGGTAAATTTGCGTTGATTGATCTATTCATTGACACTGGATCTAACTGCTGATGATCAAACTTGTATAGGTCACTCCCTAGCCTCCACGCCGAGACAGAAGAAGTCAATGACATCGCCGTATTCCTTGTGAAACTCAAATTCAAAGACCTTGCAAGTGGCACAATTCCTTAAGTTCCCGTCTTTGTTGTCAGATCATATTGCACGAGGCCAAGGACGTCATCTTAATATAATGTAGTAGGCCTGACGGTTCCTCGTAAAATCTAAGCATCAAAGCTTTATGGAGACATACAGCATGCCTCCTCAGTAGATGATCTGCTTCAGATACTCAGCAGAGAAACCAGCAGTAATTGCACCTCCAGCCAACCAGAATCCATTTCTGAACCACCACCAGCAACTTTGCTCATCCTTTAGATCCACCTGCAATATCATCCGCCCTAATGATCCTGTCGCTCCAATCACTGCGATGAAGTAGTAGAAGAATCCAAGGTTACTGGCATAGCCACAGTAACTTAATAGTAACGCCAGCATAACCAGCGAACCCCATAATAGAATCTTCGTCTGTTGCCTCCACAGTACCGCGATGCTCTTTATGCCCGCCTTGAGATCATCCTCAATATCTTGATGGGCGTAGACTGTGTCATATATGACTGTCCAGAGAGTATTTGCAATAACAAGGCTCAGAATAGCGGAGTTTACATGGAACTCGCCGTGGATCAATTTTTTCCAGCTCCAGCCCTGGGGGAAGCTGATCGTCTCTATGCCAAGAGAGAGTTCTCCCATCACAACACCCCATGCGAGGCACAGACCCAACACCACCTGAGGGTAGTTTGTATGCCGCTTAGCCCAGGGGTAGTACGTCCAACCGAGGATACTGGGCAGCGCGTAGAACCACGATTGAGAATGCGGTAGCAATGACAGGAATAAGGCTGCTGCAATAGCCTGGGTAATAGTGTAGACCAATGCAGCGGTGGGTGACACGGCGCCTCGGGGAATGGGACGGTGCTTCGTTCTTGAGACAAGAGCGTCCAGGGGCGCGTCGATGAGGTCATTCCAGATATGAATCGCATTAGAGACAAAAAAGGAGCCGCCAAAAAGCACAGCGCCTGCACGCAGGATATCCGGAACTGGGGTCGACAAATGCAACGCTGCATGCATCAACCCAAACACATGAGGGAAGTAGATGAGGAAAAGGCCGGCAGGTGGTGACAGTCGGGCGAGTTGGATGTAGGGAACCCATGACAAAGGAAGCCGAGATAATATCCCTGTTGTCGGAACTTGGTTACCCGAGTAATTGTTCAAAGCAGGCTCTTTGCCCTGCGACTTTGACTTTTTGCGTTTAACTGAGTCCATAGAAACGATATGATGCAGAGAACTTGACTGCTGAAATAAAAGTAAAAAAAATATTTGGAGCAGATTGGGGGCCGAGAATTCTGGGTGTCTGACGTGATATATATACCTTCTGTTCTCTTGGCTGGCACACACTTGACACACACTTGACAGTTTAGCGTCATTTCTGTCACAAACTAATAAACCTACACACGAGTAGAGTTAGCGTAAGCAATCTACAAGCAATTCATGTCTTTCTCATCGAATGAAGGCGTTGAAGTATGAAACGTAGCCCAGCAGGACCTCAATTCAGGTCTAGTTAAGGGAACTTGCAAACCCAACAGCGAAAACTGTCTTAAAGTTGCTTTGGGATAGCAAGAGTCTGGGCCCATTCGGTAAGGTAACCTTCCTCAACAGTCACTTGTGCCTAGAATCAGATTAAAGTGAGGGATGCAATGCTTGAGCCACGGAGATGATTATTATCATAGAGAGAAAGATGATGGAAATCCAAGCCAGGGCACGGCAGTATTTTGATTGTTCCTGTTTTCCCTCTTTAACTAGCAGATCCTCCTCGTGTCTGAGCTTTTTGTAATTTGCGTTGTGGGACGCCATCGATCACGTTCGAACATCAACAACGGGGCGCGGGACGGCCCACGGCCGCGAAAAGCTTGAGGACTGGTGGAGAAATCCGGAAGAAATTCTGCAGTTAACTAGTTATGTCTCACTACTCAACTTATCCGAGTACAAAGAGCGAATGGATCACTATGTAATCTTAAAGATATCGGCTAAAAACAAAATTCCGAGCGTTTATTAATGATTAGCCAATAGTTATAACCGCCGACTAGTAGTAGCGATAGTAGCGTATTAATGTGTTCAAACACTCCGAGTACAAAGAGTGAGTGGATCACTGACTATGTAATCTTGAAGAAATAGATTAAAAACAAAATTCCGAGTGTTTATGAATGATTAGCCAATAGTTATAAACGCCAACTAGTAGTAGCGATAGTAGCGTAATAACGTGTTCAAACACTCTCTTAGGGTATGGTTCATATTAGGTAGTGCTCAAGGTGGATACGCTAAGAGCATAAACTTGACCGATTCGACCCTCATTGGTATTATTGCTAACGATTTGGCTCATATAAGTCAGCAATTTGATATGGTGACTAGTTCCAGCCACTGAGAAGTAAGACAGATGATGCTTCAAGAAGACATTCGCGTCCTTTCGCTAAGAAGGCGTGGAATAGAGCAAAGGATTCAGGACAATATAAATAGAGGCTGTATGTCCCTTATCCAGGTTCCTTGAAGGTTCATGACAATCTCAAGCAGTAACAGCATTCCACACCCAGAAACCCCAGATATCAAGATATCTTCTTACTTCTATTATCATGCGTCTTCCACTCTCGACCATCTTTTTGCTTGTGGCTGCCGAAACCATAGCGGCAGCGCCATTCCAGCCCGCAGTTCCAAAGGGTGAGAGAGTCTTGCAATCCCGTTGAACAAATGACGAATTGTGCAGCTTGTTAATTGAAACTTAGAACATGCAGCACTGTCTGAGGCTTCTGCTTCTCAGTCTCTTGTCAAGCGTTATCAAAGCTTGGAAAACGGGCTGACATTCGATTCTGGTCTCTCATTCGACCGCACTACGGTCCAGTCCGTTACACTTTCAGAAGCCAACGATGGACAGGTGCCTCCGATCGGCCTTGTATATTCTGCTGGTCTGGATGCTGAGAGAGCCATTATGGCTACGGCTGGGACAAATGAAGGTACATTTGCAACAGGGTCCCTCTCGGTCGGCGGCGTGAACTTCTGGTGGACGATCAACACCGGCCGGTATTGGAATGTTAATGGTCTGCTTCATCATACTGGTACCGATGTTCTCGCGACGATGATGGCGGACGCAATCCAGACCATGGCAGTGGAGGATAATTCAGAAATATCTTGGACACTCCACAACACCGATCCGGACGGCGAAAATAGTTATATGGGCAAAATTGTATTGGGCTGCTACTGAGATGGCGTTTCCATTGGCCAGAATCTTGCAGAGAAACTTGCAGAAATTCTCTTTAGCAGATTTGAGATTATTCGTGGCCAGTTGAAACCTCTTTGTGTATCATTTGGTTGGATAGGGCAAGCGATACTGGGTACCGTGATATTAGGCTACTATCGAAGTTTAATACTGGTGCCGCACCAGACAATGGAGAAGAATACTTTGTTTTGATGGGAGTGACACTGTGCATCCTGTGGGCGATTTCCTATGGAACCGTCTGATCAACTTAGGTCGCTGTACCCCTGTTGGCATTTTCAACATATTTCTTGGATCTGTTAGAAGTTCAGCAATATTCCTAGATTTGTTAGACTTGTTAGTTTGTACTACCTGAGGCATCAGCCACGCCTGTCATGTCAACTGACTGCATAATTCATGCCAGGTGGGTTATGTACTCAGCCTGCGTTGATCGTGAGAACTCCGACTTAAGATGCGCCATGGAGACCTCAACCCTACTCTGGTTGCTCTCAAATGTCTTGTGGCATGATCGATTCTATTGTTGCTTGGAGAAGGCCACTTCCTTGAAATTGACAGGCTGAGAATGGAGTCACCGCAAATGGGGAAGAACCTATCCGTCTGGTTCATGTCAAAACTGGTCCCTGCAAGGAGCACAAGCTCTGTGGGGTCGGCATCGATTTGACGAAGCTTCTCGCACCACTCCTCAACAAAGCCAACGGCGGTGATTACTTCAAAACCATGGGCGTTAATATCGTGCAGCATCCGACCAAGCCATGGGTCAACTGGTCGATTGCGCGTACCATGGAGCTTAACAAAACCCACATGGTGGGGCCTGATCATGAAAGCCACAGCACATCGCCCGCATCTACGAGCAATGGAAGGAATCCGGCAAGATACACCTTACGCAATTGCCCTCGACGCTCCTCCCATCGCCGTGATGGCTCCAGCATGCCTCTTCCACAAGGAGTCACGGAATCTGAATATGTTGGCGCTATATGCGGTGAAGCAGAATTATGAATGGGCAAGTGGGCTGGACAGCATGATCCTTATACTCTCTACGTTAACACATTTGCAGCAAGGCCTGGTTCAAGCACATCACAAGTGATCTAGGGGCCCGGTGTTGACCGTTCTACTAGAACGTCAAGCCTAAAAGTAACCGTCTTGACTATTCAGTACTCTTCTATGATAACGACCGAAGATAAACCAGTTCCGGGCGCCATTTAAAAGATAATCTCTCGGAGGTCCACTATTTCCCAACCATCCGATAGTAGCTCGATCTCGATGCCTCCCATGCTGTGCTCACCTGAGCGAAGGAACCGAGGTCGCATCAAAATACTAGTAATGAGAAGACATGCCCTGACTCGCCGTAGAGCATCTGTAGAGACGGCCAGGCCATCTACGAATTAATGTCGCATTCGCGGCCTTGCCCCGCCGTTTAGGACATGAGTGTGAAAGGAGAGGTCAAGAAGGCGACCGCCAGGCTTAACTTGAGCTGGCTGATATCAGGAGAGAGGAGCATCATGTCAGCTTGTACCTCTTCCGAGCGTTGAAAAGCCAGGACGAAGAAAATTATGGTGGTAGTGGAAGTACCAGCCTGTGGTACAGCCGAGCCACTCGTTAGGCTCATCTTCTTGGTGTACGCTGTCGGTCATTCCTTCCCCTGTGTCTCTTTATGTTCTCCTCGCCTCTTCTCAGTCAATATTTGTTCGTTTATTTCTTTCCCTTGCAACTTATTGCACTACTGGGCGATACTTTTCCTTTTTTTGTCATCTTTGTGGATCCTTTAAGCCTCACAACTTTTAAATTGAACATCGTATTGTCTGGCATATACGCTGGGAGTCATTTATTCTTTCCTTCTTGTCCCTTTTCATCCAGCCACCCCTTCTCCTGCCCTTGCTTTATGTCTGTGGTATCACATTAATCCGCACTCATCCTTTGGGGTGATTTCTCCTCCATTCAAACACCTGAATATTCAGTGTTTCCCTTTGCCATTCCACTGGTACCCATCCCTAACTTAGCCTATGCCATGGCATCGCGCGGTAGGGGCAGCTGGACCAAGCTCGGGGCTAGCGCACTTGAAAGTTGCGGTAACCTTGGACCTACCATCTACCCTAGGTCATGTGGGCATTGATGCAAGAACAAGTCATTCCGTCTCATTCTTATTTTGTGTAATGTTTACTACTTTTGTCATGGGAACCCTTTTACTGCTCTACCTCAACCTGGTCAGCGCCGCACTATCACGTGCTACGTATCCTATCTGGTCTACTTGGGTGTTATCACGCAGATATCATGCTCCCATGTAGTGATACTGTTATTGTCCTCTGTGCTGGCTTCTTTGGGCTTTTCTGCCCTCACCAACTGGATTCATTATTGGCATTTGGTAGGCACTGCGCAGCCTAAGCTAAAATCAGCTGGTTCGAAACCTACTGTATCTAAGTCTGGGACAAGTATTCTGCACTGACTTGGTCATGGTATTGTGACCATATCTTTTACCAGCATAGAACCCCCAGTCATTCTGACACTACGACGTCATTGTAATCCAGAGGAAACTATTGATCTTTCAGACAGATGTCGATTTATAATTAGCAACCTGCTCCCATAATGATTAGTAATCCATTCTGTTACTTTTGTGGGTATGAATTATTTCTGATAGGGCTTAGTATGTATCACAACGCCATTCGCTTGTAAGAATAGCCATATGGATATGACGCCTGTGCAACCATAACTTTGTTTTACCACCTCCCTAATAATGAAGAAGAAAACACCATAGTGGTGATGCATGCTCTAGACTGGTTAGTATTCTGCACTCACGCTAATCACCACCTTGTTCAAGCGGCATCACCCCCCATCGCCAGCGAGGACACCTACCCGGGTATTGACCGCGTTCAAGCCACGCGCCGGCAGGTTAGTAGTTGGGTGGGTGACCACCAGCGAATCCCGGCTGTTGTATGTTTTTGATGCATTTTTTGCTTCGTTGTATGCCATTGCTGCCTGGTTATGCTTTAGAGAATATATTGCATTAATCCAGGCATTATAGATTCCTATGGATTGTGCTAAAATGCTGATTTAGCTGCCATGGGATGATTTAAGTGGACGTCACTGTGACGGGTCCGAATTTAGACGAAGCCGGTCATATTAACGAAATCCTTGAAGCAGACAGATTCCAAACCTGGGAATTGGGCTTGCCATTTTCTCCTCGGTGATTGCTAGACGTTTCGGAGGTGCCGGGGCTGGCAATGCCCTCTGGGGTTGCGCGCTAGCTTGGTTCTGGTTGCTTTTGCCCGTTTTGCCAAATCGATCGGCGAGAGGGCCATCTTGAGTTCCACAGTGGCTGTGGGTTTTAGGACGACTGCCTTGACCATTGTGGATTGGGGTTTGGCCACTGGGAGTTGGGGTTTCTCAGACCTTGAAGTTGCTGGTTCTGCCATTGTCATTGACCTTGGGGTTGAAGTGGAGGGTATTGCGTTCGAAAACGGTCGAACCAGTTGGTCTGCGCTCTGTTCAAGATGCTAATGAATTGCGCTGTCGGTGTGCCTTCTTGAGGCTCATTAATATCAGAACGCAGTTCGATATCCATGTTTCTCCACGCTTGTAACACCAGTGGGTATTCCGCCTCGGCCTCGCCCGCTTGTGTAGCTAGGGCGACGAATGGTCACATGCAGATGTATATACACGAGCGACTCCAACTAGACCAAATTCATGCGGCGGATGAACTGCTGCATAAGGTAGTCTCTAAAGGCCGATAACGGTCCTGATCTGTTTGAGGAACTGTACCCACGCACTTGGGTAGGACCATTATTTGAAATCCTCCGCCCCATAAGATCCAACATTCTAAGTTTTCCGGAGTAGATCCGTTCGATAAAGATAACACTCACGGTATTGATCACCGGAGGCAGTGCTTGGGCTCCATATTGTACTCACTTGATGTTACAAGATCGGCTCTGTAGCAACTGGGGCTGAACTGAAAGCAGTATTGACATTGGACAGTTCGGGTACCCTAAACCATCGAAAATTCAAGGACCATCTAAGGCCCTGGCGCCAAGCAACACAATGAATAACAGAAAGTCTTGTCTCAAACATCCAACGCGGGGCCTTTGGAGCTGAACTAAAAGCAGTATTGACATTGGACAGTTCGGGTACCCTAGTTGTAGGCTAATGTGGTGATCGCCATCAGAGTTACATCCTTGAGGCTCCATACGTAACCAGCCATTCCCGTGTGTTATGGTCTTGGCAGCCCATGTGGAGCAAGTAAGCAACCACAGCCGCAAAGGATCGGCCCCAAAGGCCCACTGTAGGAACCGCGGCAAGTATACGGTAAAAACAATCGGACAAAGGACTAGGGTCATGGTCTACCTTATAAATACCTGGTCCTGTGTCTTCGTTTTCACTCATTATCCAAGAATCTCCATCATCATCCTCATCCTCTCCAATTTGAATCCAGACCACTTAAGCACAACATCTTTCACCATGCATGTCTCTTCTGCTATCCTTTCGATTTTGGCCGCGGCAACCCTTGCATCGGCTGGCGATTGGGGCTTTACCGGATTTACAGAGACAGACTGCAAGGGGAATGGTCCCGTTGGTTTCGGCGATCAGAAGGCTTACGGCTGCACCAACTTGGACACTAAAGCAACCATCATGAGCGTCAACGGAGACGTCGATGGCTTTGAGATTGCACTCTTCCCCGAGAATGACTGTAAAGGCAATTTCCAGCAGTACATTCGCGACAGTAACACTTGCTCCAGCGCGGGGCGTGGTGACTTCCCCCAGATCAAGTCTTTCAAGGTAACTAATCACCCGAAGAATGTCCCTCATACTTCAGTCTCAGCTCTAACATCGTATAGGTGTATGCTGGCACCCCCTACTAGGGTGACCTGGTTGGGAGCAAGCGCTAGGATACTTTAGAACTTTGGGATATGCTTGTTTTGTGTCTTTGGACCACAATGCTACGATTATGGGTTGTGAAGGAAACTATTGTGTCTTGTACATAACGCCGACGACAAAAAAGCCCTTCAAGAACCAGTCAGGTATATATTTGGCTCAGAAGGGAACACCGCTCTTTTTATACGAGGATGGGAGTCCACCTGGTGTCCTACACGGGGTATGGTCGAAGTCAAAATGTACAAAATTAAATATGTTGATCTAGTCATGCTAAGAGGGGCGTGTAAATATGCGACCAACGAGCAAGCCCAGGCAGCAGTTTCAATCCAGATAGAAACGTAGCAGGTATATATCTCCATATACAACACAGTCCTAATGCTCGAAAATACCTAACAAAAGAAATCCTGTATAATTCGGAGCAAAAAATGCAGCGTCACTTATTGATGAGATTCAGTGAATATAGAATAATAAAAACAGGCGTAACAACCAGCCGACAGGGTGGGTTGAGGTAGGCTAGGGTAAGATCGAGGGCCATATGGTTGTGGGCCTTATTCTGGATGGTGTCGTTGAAAACAGGTGAAATTTTGTCCGCGTTGAAGCCCAGGTCGTATGCGTACATGCGGCAATGAGACGCCCGGGTACGTAGCGAATAATGCGACCAGTTAATGTAACTGATATTGTTTGATCTCTGAGCCTCTGTAGGTAGAAGATACCCGGGCTTGTACGGAACGGGCCCACCTATATCCATCTCCGAAAGGAGCTTGTTAGGTAGTACGTCCCAGGCGTCCCCCGAACTGGGTGTCTGGCAGAAGTCCGCAGTGTTTCGTGAAGAAGCACAGCCGTCGGGCCCTCACTGCCTCCAGCAGCTTGCCTAGCGTGTTGAGCAGTGTGATTGGGCGGTAGGCTCCTGGGGAGCGAGTAGTCTCCCATATAATGGGTCAGCATCGAGACAGTCTTGTGCCAGGGCTCGCTGGTGAGGCTGGTGTCAAGCATGGGGTTATAGACATGGTAGGTATGGATTGTACAGGCAGGGGCGAGCTAAGCGCGGCGCAGAACCACTGTGACTGTCAGCCAACGGGGATTGTACACGCAGTGATTGCAGCCAGCCTTGCAAGTGAGGCATTGTATCTTGCAAACTTGCAAAATAAATATATCTACAGGGTCATGTCTGATAGAGCAGGATTCCAAGCATTATATCCAGAGGACAGACCTGTATTCCCGACTGTTCCCCTTCTAGCGCTTAATACAGATGGTTTTGTCTATGAGGATTCCAAAACTCACCAAAACATTTACTTGTCCGTGTTGCTCGGCTCGTATTGAGGGGGGGGGGGCCCAACGATGCGTTGAGGGAGCACCAGAATGTTTTAGACCATAAGCTGCCTTGTGGTAAATTATTGAGGAGGTTCGTGGACTCTGCTGCTTTGAAGCAGCATAGTAGTAGAGTACATAGGAAATTTATAAATCTGAAGAGGAAGTCTTGTTTTGGTACTCTAGCAACAGGGCCAGTGTGATGAGGCCTCATGAATCCACTGATACCTTGCTCTCCATAGCAGATAGCTTGAACTAACACTGTTGGTAAGACGCTTCTAAGCCTCTGCACATCATTATATATACTAAGTTGAGACAGTGGGTGACATATCCAGTGATTCCCTTTAGCAGCACCAACATTGCCGTCCCTAATAATACTTAATACTACTGAGCGGGCTAAAATCTTTCAAGTTCTTTCTGCGAGATGTCACCTTCCGGACCGACGTCGAGCACAAGGGTATAAGATGCCACCTCCACCGGCAGATAGTAAAAAATGCGCGCCTCGAAGCACCATTCAGTGAGGGATCTCTCGTGAAACATCCTGATCAGAGCTCAGCCAGCTACCTGGGAAAAGACAAGCAATCATTAAAAATTGTGAGATGGTCAAATTCACAGGCTTGTATGTCTAGATAATTCTGATCTTTTCAATCTACCAGATACTGTCTATGACCCCTCGTCAGACTGAGATTCAAGCTACAAAATATCGTAATAGTTGCAAGTGAGCTCCTTGTATAGGAGATGGAGAGTATTTTAAGCAGTCAATCGATGCCAGGAAACACCTTGGATAGGGGCACCGACGCCGCCCACAAAGTGACAGGGGACGCAACATCACACTCATGCCGTAGGGAGATTACATTTCTTGACCTGTTGGCGGGCTATAATCTAGCATCCATTTGGTCTTCTGCATCTGCGGCTAGGTCTGGTAACGGAAGAGGGAGAAACCCCTGCCATTCCACGGCTAGTATCTGACTGCTGATGGGCGAAACGCCAGCCTTGTCTGAATGTAGAGAGCTACAACTGACCCTGCTTTCATAGCTTATCTTATAGACGGTTCTAACTGCCGGCGTCTATGAGTACAAGTATCAGCCATTGTTCTACATTGACTAGCGGTGCCTGAGTGCAGTTGTGGAAAATAGCATTTTAATGAGATACCATATAATTACCAGATGTTGGCCGGTTCCAAAGTTTGCAGTACAGCATAATTGAGAGGTAAGGGAATCGATGAAAAGGGAGAAGTAGAAAGAAGAAGCTCATGCAATCGCCCCAACTGCCCAGACCATTAGAAATATATATTGTAATAATTTAGCCCTCCTACGCCATAACGCTTACAGAACCTATAAAAAATTGGTATTTTATAGGGGAAAAAAAAATACATAATTGATTGGGACTAAATTTTTATGGCCTAACCTCTAGTATATGTATCTGTATCTAAAGAATTGGCATATCCATAGTCTCACCCTAGACTCCCCCTACCGTAGATATAGCCTTACCCTGTTTCACCTAAGCGGTACTTTTGTAAAGGCACGCGCCAGTGTTCTATATAACCTTCAATTCAAGGAAACCCAGCACATACGACCATAGGGTGTGGAAAACAGGGCTTCCCGTCCGCTCAGCCGTACTTAAGCCACACGCCGGCCGGTTAGTAGTTGGGTGGGTGACCACCAGCGAATCCCGGCTGTTGTATGTTTTTGTCGGTATTTTTGTCTCTCTCGAAGAGGAACTGTGTCGTCTCGACAATCACAAGCATGAATTGGGGTCGTTCTAGAATGGACATCTGACCTCCACCGCATGCAGCCCAAACGGTGGCGGGGGCGGACTGTAGGCGGATTAAAATCATCTGAATAATGCTGAGAACTGGGGCGGGTAGGATGCTTCGGCAGCTTAAATAGAAAGGTAGGGGTTCCTTACCAGAAGAAATGCTGTGCCCTTTCAAGCTGGACGCTCGACTCGCTGGAAGGAACAGTGGCTGATTGCATCTTTGGCCTGGCGATCTGACTGGCTATCATCTGCATTCAGATCAACCGACGTATCTAGGTCATTTGGACGCATAGGAGGGCCCTCTGGACCGTGTTTCAGAGGACCATCTGCTGCTGAGTGTCCCTCTACGTCTGTTGCAACCCGACATCCCCTGACGCCTATGCCATCGAGGCTGTTAAGCTCTTGCAAGAGTCAAGTCCAGGCTGATCTATCTTAGCACATAAACGTCCCTGAATGCGTCCAGGATAAACCGCAATGCAGAGCGCAGACATGTGCCTCAGTTGTTCTCCGTTTCTATCACCGACGCCTGGACGACGCACACTTGCTGTTCGATGACTTCGAGCAGCTCCCTTGCAGATTGGGTGGCGAGCCGTGCTGAGGAACAGGCACTAAGCGCTAAGCTGGAGACCTTGTTGCAAAACCTCTCAGCTCTTGTGGGGTTTCATTGTCCTATTTCTGGTTTGGGAGTAGTGCGGGGCATGGATAAATACCGTAGCCTAAGAAGAAAGCTCAAGGGATCAGGGAACTTGAGCAACACCAGTACCCTGGTGGCCAGAGCCTATGCTGAATAGCTACATAGCATGCTCAGCCTAGTTGGGATCAACTCCTCGCTGCCGAGTGCCGATACCCGGGAACTGAAACGTTCGCGTAGCCCCCAGTTATTGACACCTAGGGTAGCGGGAGAGGCAATGATCTCGCTGACGCGATCTAGACACTGACACTGAGATCAGTTAAAGCGCATGGTGCATTCCAGAGCTTTGGAACATACGTACGTGTTTAGAAATCTGGACCACATTGGCTCATTCCCCCGTGTATGACGTTGTTGTAGCCAAAGCTTTGCAGTCTTGCGCCTGTAGCTCAGATCTCTTGACCGCTACACAACTCCCAGCATGAGGCATTAGATTAGCTTTGATCGAAGGTTATTTGTAATTCGCCATACCTGAGCGAGCCCTACCGCGAAATGTGCACTGACTCAAGGAATGGGGCCGGTTACAATGCGAAACTTTGCATCCCCGCAGCTCGGTCACGATGAGATACTTCCAAGATGACGGCAGGAGAGCATAAATGCTATTAGAACATATAACCGGTCGTAGCTGAGCAGCATGTCGGAGAAGGATGAGCTGTGCGAGCGCTGAGATCACAATTATGGTAAGCTTACCGCTTACCCCTTGCTGACCCATTCCCGGTGCGATATATCCAATTCAGTTGGATCAGGCAGCTAGCAACCTCCCCTTGCCGCATCACATGTTCGACAATCGTCTTTCAGAGCTTCTTGGTGCTTTTATTAGAGTCGATCGGAGCTACACCGCATTCTTCAACAGCCGAAGAATGCGCCACTGCCCCAGGTCTCCGATTCCCGCACGGAGTGCGTCTTATGGCTTCACAGCGTTTCTCATTGGAGAATGACGCCCTCCTTACTCCCCAAGGACAGAGCCAAGACAAGGCTTGCATCAGGAATGACGAGAGTCTTATTCCAAGTCCATCTCAGAGGATGTCTGGTGTCAATGACATAATGCCTCCAGCATGTTATAAAGAGAAGACGCACCCTCTACCAGAACATCTTCCAATTCTCACAATCGCAATTACAATCACAGACCTCAAACAAACCAGCTACTACCTGCAAAATGCTCTCCCGCACCATCCTCGCCGCCCTCGTTAGCGCTGCCTGCTTCGCGACCGTCAACGCGCAGACCTGCAGCGCTAGCAACAAAAAATGCTGCCAGCAACTTGAGGACTCGAAAAGCCTTGATGCTAATGCCCTGAACTTGCTCCAAGTTTTGGACGTGGACGTTGATGCCCTGACCGGCCTTGTCGGTGTGCAGTGTATGGCATGACTTGAAATCTATTTTGCTCTGCTTTGCTAACGAGCCCAGGCACCAACATTATCGGCAATAGCTGCAGTGCGAACGCTGCTTGCTGCACCGGCAACAACTACGTAAGTAGGAGCAGTAGAACGTCGTCGGACGGGATACTTACCTGATGTTTAGAACGGACTCATTGTTCTTGGCTGCACCCAGATCCAGCTGTAGTAGGGCCCCTGTCCGCAACTGCGCTCTGGCAGAAGATCCTCGTATCTGGAGAAGCAAGATGCTTGAAATGGTGGATTGGTCACGTTCTACTCGATAGTCTGAGGATCAGTTATGGTTAGCAGTTAGCAGATGAGTAGTAGATTAATGGAAACTGTGCTCACCTTATTTGGGCAATGAGAAGGTCTTTCGTAGGAATTCCTGGGTGATTTATCCGGTAACGTACCGGACTCAATCAACATCACCACGACGGGAGGCAACCCTCGGTCGAAGCTTAAACACAATTGAATCCATTGACGAACCGGACGTGGCCAGAACCACCGAGCGGAGACCTACTGACAGCTCATCTGATTGGGTTCAGGGGAGACGGAAACGTCATAACGAGATATGCCTACCCGGAGGGGATAAAATCAGATGATGTGTCCGAGATACCAGCTGGTAGCTTACTGCTAGACTTAATATTCTATCTGTGTATAAGCATAGACCCAACAATTAATCTATCGTCTCCTATCTCTTCTTTATCGTGTAGAGATTGCAACATGGAAAAAGCGGACGCAGTTCACTCTGTATGTAGCAAAGGTTCTTAGAGTTTGCGGATTCGCCACATCCTCACCTCACCGCCGGTATGACGAATTGACAATTAACAAAGGCGTGTTAGTATCTCTGTCCGAAGGAAAACACCGTGATCATCCTGCCTGAAGATGAGATCACGCATGTCGGAACGGCAAGTATGGGGACGAAGCCCATGAAGCCTGCGCGGGGGGTTGTATTGGCGGTTGGCACGACCAAGGCGCCGGGGAATGGAGGACAGCATGCGATGGATGTGAGGCTGGGGGATTTGGTGATTTATACCAAGGTCAGTTGCTGACTGTGGACAATCTTCTGGAGAAGGTTCTACAGATGGTGCTGATGCATGCATAGGGGAAAGGGAAGGAGGTGAAGGTTGATAATGATGAGTATTTGCTTCTTGATCGGGATGAGTAAGTCGTTCATTATTGATGGACTGATCTGAACTAATGTGAGCAGAATTCTCGCTGTTGCAGATTGATTGATTGATATGATATGATATGATATGAGTGGATTGATGTCTCTTAATTTGGTTTATGATGACCTCTACATTGAATGATACCTATACTTCTATCCGCAAAATTCATACGCAGAGCTTCTGCTATAAGATAGATATAGAGGAAGTACAACCTACTTAGACAAAGATATCACTCCGTCAACCATCTCAACCAACCCCTCAACCACAACCTCCAACCTCTCCCTCTCAAACACCTCCCAACAGCCCTCACCCTCAAGCACACTACAATACGCCCCCCGAAACCCCGCCCTCACCGCAGCCGACACATCCCACAAATGCGCCGCCGCAAACCACCTCTCCCCATCTCCTACCCTTTCCAGCGCAGCCCGATAAGCCCCCAGCGCCGGCTTCGCAACCCTCAACCCATCACAACTCAACACCCTCTCCACCGGCATCTCGGCCCCGGCCCGCGTAAAATACCCCCGGACACGCTCCACATCCCCCGTAGTCAAACACCAAACCTCAAACCCCGCGCTCCGCAATCTCTCAAACGCAGTCACAAGCTCAGGACGCAGCTGCAGAGAAGCATAGCCGCGTATACATGCGTCTCGCTCCTCATCTGTGAAGGCTGAGCGTGGGTTGGCCACGCCAGCCATGAAGAGGCTGCGGTAGAAGAGCGCGCGCATGACATCTTTATAGGGGCGGTAAGATTCGGAGATGGACAGGAAGGTGAATTCGAGCTCCGCGGCGGTCATCCATGTGTACCCGAAGTGCTTGGGGGTGATTCCATAAGTTGTGAGTTTTGGGCCGATTGTGTCGGCGATGGAGGCAAAGTAGGCGTCGAAGGAGACGCAGGTGCCGACCACGTCGAAGATAATGTGTTTTGGCATTTTCTTTGGTAACTGTTATGTTGTCCGTCGTTGGGGGGTTGGTTCTCGTGTGAGTGATGAGTGAGGGGTGGGTTGTTTATGTGGATTTCATGATTGGGATGTGGAGAAATGCGGAGTCTATAGAAGTGATGGGACATGGAGGACCGGATCACTTCCGGCGGATGAGACACGTTCTTCTGGCTTATCTTATCGATCTGAATATGTAGATACTATGTACTGATCAAAATGCCTTCCGGTCCACATATCGGAGGATTATCGGAGATTACGCTGATAACTCTAGGAAGACTTATTATGGAAATGTGGTCTCGCAGTATCAGTTATGTTACTCATGAACACATGAACACATGAACACATGGATTAAGAATGAGTAACTATGACCATAGAATGTTCAACCGCCTCCACCAGGTCCTCCTTTTCGGCTCTGGTTCGGGCTCTTCCCGGTACGCCTGGATAAACGGCCGGATGGGAATCTCCTCCAGGGGCACCATCGCCGTCCTCCCCCACAGCTTATACCCAAAATACAACCCCAGAATGATCGGAATGTTCAAATACGATGAGACAAACGTTTCCGTATCCCAGTGCCTGCGCATGAACGTGCTGTATCCCCCAGTGAACAATAAAAGCGTAAACAGCACGAGCGCAAACCACGTCAGGTACGGCTGCAGCGGCGCCGCCCACGGTAACTCTCGGTGCCGGTCGATTTTCTGCTTCCGGCACCCGTAATAAAACCGCAGGTAGATGATGCAGATACACATCCAGTTCACGAGAGTCGAAATGGAGACGATGTCCTGCAGCCAGGTAAAAGCGGTGCTGGCCGAGTCGGACAGCGTCATGTAGCCGAGCCCCATAAAGACGCCGATCAGGGAGACGGCGACATACGGCGCCCCGAACCGGTTGACCCTAGTAAAGAATTTGGGCGCATGTCCGTGCATGGCCAGCCCGAAGAGGATGCGAGAGCCTCCGAGCATGTTCGAATTCCCCGCGGACCAGGCAGAGGTCAGAACCGCAGCGTTGATAATAGATGGAACAGCATGGATGCCGGCACGCCGCGCGGCAATGACAAAAGGCGACTGGGACGCATTACCGGTCGAGCGGAGCAGAGTGGGGTCATTGGAGGGGACCAGCATGCCGACCATGAAGATGGACAGAATATAAAACAGAAACACACGCGCAAAGATCCGTCGAGCCGCTTTGGGGATCGCCTGCCGCGGACTCCGCGTCTCCGCCGCCGCGACACTGATGTTCTCCATCCCTGAGTACGCGTACAGCGCGTTGTTGAGCGTCGTCCAGAACCCCAGGAACTGGCCCCACGAGCCCGGGACGTCCAGGTACTGCACGAAGGGGCCGGGATTCCGCCAGTATCTGAATCCAATGCTTTGCCCGTCCGGCCCGCCTCCACAGGTGATCACGAGCGCCATGATATTGATGCCGATGACGAGCATGATCTTGATCATCGAGAACCCAAACTCCAGTTCCCCGTACACGCGCACAAACAGCAGCGCCGTCGCCAGCATCAGCACCCCAAATACTGTGATCCAGATCGCATTGTTGACCGTCACCCAGAACTCGACGATGATGGCCGCCGCGGCCAGCTCCGCGGGGATCGAGACCAGGTACGAATAGACCTGGTTCCAGCCGTTGGCAAAGCCGAGCGCCGGGTCGAAGAAGAGCATGGCGTAGCGGACCACGCCTCCATTCAGCGGAACCAGAGCCCCCATCTCGCCCACGGCAAAGACAACCGCTGAGCCGGCCACGCCGATGATGGTGTACCCTAGAAGGGCTCCAAGAGGCCCCGAGCGGGCAATGGCACGCCCAGAGCTGAGGAAGAGGCCGGTACCAATGGTCCCGGCCAGCGCAATCATCTGGATGTGTCGCTGGTGGAGGCCTTGTTTGACCAGGCGGATCTCGCCGAGATGCTCGGCGGCGGCGTCGACATTGTCAGGGAGTTGTTTCTCGGTGTCATGGAGGGTGCCTTTTTCTGGATCTGGCATTATTCTTGGTATCTCTGTTTCAGGTGGCATGTTCAATTTGAAAGTAGATTGGGGACCTTGGAGTTAAGGCGATCCTGTCGCCAGTTGGCGATATTTAACCAATGGCTTATCTCTATGCTCAAGCTCATCCGGTGATGGTTTAGCTTTGAGATTAGAGTGTGATAGATAGCTTGACAGGCTCTTCCAATGAAGACAATGCATTTGCAATTCCTATCTCAAGGTTTCGATTTCCCCTCTTTTCGTGTAGCCACCGCAACCTAAAGCCCTTACTTCTGGGGATAGTTACACCATGACCAACCGGAACTGGACCGGATGATGCAGGGTCACATGATGATAAACCGGACTTGACCGGAGATTCGCAGATCGCATAGTAAAGATAAGAAAAGATAAAGGATGATCAGCGGAGACGGAGAGAGGAGAAGTGGGGAAGTTAACACTCGACAACTCCTGGTTAGACAACAACCGTCGCCAGAATAAGTATATATGAGACCATCTACAGTGGGCAAAAGTTGACCATAGTGATAAAGAACATAAATAATACAAGTAATGGCTACCCTTCCCTCAAACCCCATTACCTGCTTCTGGCAGAACAACCCCCACGAACTACACAACCATCGCTCCACCGAAGATCTCCCGACGCACAGCGACGTGGTGATCATCGGCGCTGGGTATGCGGGCGTGAGCACCGCCTGGCATTTACTACACAACCACAACAACATCAAGTCAATCACTATCCTCGAGGCAAGAGGTGCCTGTTCAGGCGCCACCGGTCGCAATGGAGGCCATCTGCGCCCGGATCGGTACGGACATATCCCCACGTACATTGACCGTGCTGGACCTGAAGCAGCGGCGGAGATTGCCGAGTTTGAGATTGCGCATGTCCAAGCGATCAAGAGACTTGTCGAGAGTGAGCAGATCGACTGCGATTTCAGACTTACAAGGACAATCGATGTGTGGTGTAATGAGGAAGCTGCAGCGGCGGCGAGGAAGGTTTACGAGCGCATGAAGGGGTACGGATTCGCGTACATGGACGATGTTGACTTTCACACAGGAAAGGATGTAGAGGGGGTACGTCGCCTCGAAATCATGCCACTATCCGTACTAACGCGGTCAGATCTGCGGCGTCAAAGGCGCGGTGGCTTGTGCCTCCTACACCGCAGCCACCATCTGGCCCTACAAGTTCATCATGCACCTTCTCGCCAAACTCCTGGCGTCAGGAAAGGTCAATCTGCAGACCTACACCCCCGCAACAGCGGTTACACCATCTGCAGACGGCAGTACCACTACATTCACAATCGAGACCCCCCGCGGCAGTCTGCACGCTAGCAAAGTCATCCACACCTCCAACGCCTACGTCTCCTCCCTCCTCCCCCAATACAAACACAACATCATCCCCTGCAAAGGCGTCTGCTGCCGCATCGCCGTGCCAGAAGGGAAAACTGCCCCGCTACTGACCAATTCCTACATCGAGCGCACCATGGACAACGTCCTGTCTTACCTCATCCCCCGTGCAGACGGGAGCATCATCGTCGGTGGCGCGTCGGTGCTCTTCAAGCCCCATCGCGACCAGTGGTACAACAACACCGACGACAGCGTGCTCATCGACGTGGCCAAGGATTTCTACGATGGGTATATGCAGCGGACGTTCCGCGGGTGGGAGGAGTCCGGGGCTAGGGTAGACCAGATCTGGTCGGGGGTCATGGGCTACTCGTATGACTCGAACCCGCATGTCGGCGCGGTGCCGGAGAGCAAAGGGCAGTTTATCTTGGCGGGGTTGAATGGGCATGGGATGCCAGTTATTTGGCTGGCCGCGGAGGGGTTGGCGAAGATGGTGGGCGAGGGGGTTAGCTTTGAGGAGACGGCGATGCCGAGGCTGTTCAAGACGACTGAGGAGAGGATTGACAGGGCGCAGGGGGGAAAAGAAGAGGACGGGGATATTCTTGGGACGGGGTCATTTTTTGCTACCAAGCAGTAATAGTTAGCCAGTTGCCCGTGTTGCATCAACAGATATGATGCCTATATTAGATTAGTGTTATCAGTGGATTATTACCCCGTATTTATACCACATCCGTTATCAGTGCCAACCTTAAGCTTCCCCACCTGGAGATAAGCCCGCAGCCACACTAATGTAACAATCCTCGTTGCATTTATTGACATACAACACATAACACATAGTCTACTCTCTTCACTGCATTTTTATATAGAACATGAGCGCATATCGGCCACCAATACCTTCCGCCCCTAGAGCGCAGTCAAGCACCGAAGCGCCCGCACCCCGACTCAAACGGCGCAAAGTAACCGACGAGAGAAAGCGCACAGCCAGAGCGTAGGCCTACCTCGAGAATAAGTTTGAATCAAGTACACTGACAATACAGCTGCGATCAATGCCGCCGGTGGAAAGAAAAATGCGAGGGGGGAATCCCCTGCAGGAAATGTTCGCACCTGGGCCGTCCTTGTCGCGTGCAGGGTATGCCTGTACCGCAGGATATCAGGTACGTACGTCAGTAGTTGAAGTGATGCAGGGGCTGACATTGATAGCGCTCGGGATGCGTTGGTGGAACTGCAGGAGAGGGCCATGTACATGGAGCGGATCCTGAGACACGCGTTCAAGGGGATCGCGCTAGATACGAAGAGTCTCAAGCAGATGGCGTTGTCGATTGATGAGACGGACAAGGAGACGCAGCCGGAAACTGACGAGGCGGAGTTGACTATAGAAGAAGAGGAGTGCACGATCGATCCCGTGGAGGATACCGTTACTCGTGCGTTTCTTGTCTATTCTGTAAGGTAGATGGCTGGCGCTGACTATAGACAGACTTCTCCGGGGAATTCTCCTACTGGAACTTCTCCATGCGCGTCAAGCGTCAGATCGAGGATAGGATGGCGGCTTCCGCTTCCCTGAGCCAGGTATGTCTCTGCTGTAGCCCTCCATATGTACTAACTGGTCCAGATTCACCCCGCAAACCAAATATCAAACTACCCCCGAGCGAAACAGCTCCGATCCAGCTCGCG